TGGTGTTTACGTTATTTTGTCCAACCATCTGTAACTTATTTAGATAATCCTTACTTTCCTGTATTTTCTCTTCACCAGAAATGTTCAAGTAACGGCACATCCATGTCATAACTATATTTGCTCGCTCGCAAAGGTCAAAGGTTGGATCAATAGAAACAAATACAAATACGGTGCAAAGTTGTTGCATCAGTCTGTTGCTGTGTTACTGATTGACCCCTCTTATCAACATGATGCAAGGATTTTTGGAAACAAAATGTAATGTTCTAGTTATGAATTGCAGAAAAATAATGATTTTTTTTTTAATCATCCACAGCCAGCCCCTTGACGCTGCAGCAGAGGGTGGGTTTCTGATAAACATATCAAAATGATAACCTTGCTTTTTCACAGAAACAATAATGTGTCTCCTATTATAGACATTGTCTGTACTTGACAGGATTTAATTCGCACTAAAGCAACGATTGACGTTATCTGTGTGTTTAGATGCTGCACTACCAGACCGCTGCGCCGGCATCGAGTTTGATGCCATCACTCCTGATGAGAAAGGAAACACTTTCTTCTTCAAAGGTCTGGGATGTTTGTTTTTTTTACAAATAATGATTTTATTTTCGGTGTGGTTATTATCTATTATCCTTTAGAACCAGGCTTTGGGTCTAATATCCGTGAACCTAAATCAACCAAGCGCTGTGGTTTTAACACTAAAGCGAGAAACACTACTATTGGGGGAACCGACACCGGTAACCGCTGGAATACATTCACATCACAACAAAAACACATGGAAATAACACGTCTAACATGTAGCCGTCATATATATAACAGTTACATGTCAACACGCAAGCTCGGCGACTCGCTCGTGAATGCCATTTTAACAGAAACTCAACACTAAGCAACTAAACGGGCGCGTAACGGAAAACATGCTAACCGCGGAAAACATGCTAACCGCGGAAAACATGCTAACCACACACAGAGACGTTATTGTTGGTTGGTGTTAGCCACACAACAATGTGTCACTGAAAGCTGACACTCCACAAACTCACGTCTTGTCCAAAGCTAAACCAGCAGTCGTAGAAAATAAATAATAAACTATAAACAGCTATAAAATATTTCTTACCGTTGCTGTCTTCTTACCGTTGCTGTCTTCTGGTGTCCGCGCTGCCTATAGCTAGCGTTAGCATAAACGCGGTGCTAATGGCTAACGCTAGCGTTTCCACGTTCTAATGTTACTCCACGTTCAGATAAAACTTCAAGTCGTCCGGTTTAATTAAGACGTCGATACACAAACATCAGCCATTAACTGTGACACTACACTAAAGGTATTAGCCTTCACTAAAGGCATCAGCTGGTTAAATAGGCTAAATTGGAAATTGAAATAAAATAGTTAAAAAATGCTGTGTCTTATCTTCATATTATCTGACCCAACGTTTATACTGATGCTTATATGTGAGATAAATAAAAATATTATAGTGTAATTTTAATTACAGACACACGCTTTTGAGGCCTTTCATTTTCATTCAAGCGCCTGAGCCAGAGGCCCAAACTGAATATACATTGATCACATGTTTCCCCTCCAGGCAGCCACTTGTGGAAGGGTTACCACGGTGCGGCTCAGCTCGCCAATCAGTTCTTCACAGAGCTCGATGACATCCATCACATCGGCCACGTGGACGCAGCCTTCCGCATGCACAACGCAGCAAACCATGAGCACAACTATTTCTTCCTGGTAAGATGCACGGGTGCTTCCTTTTCTTCCTTTTGTCAGCTATAGATCGTAATCTCTGTACCTACACCTAGTCTGATTTTACGTCCAGGATGACAAGGTGTTCAGCTATTACAACCACACTCTGGAGAACGGCTACCCCAAGGAGATCCAGGAGGACTTCCCAGGAGTCCCCTCGCATCTGGATGCTGCCGTAGAGTGTCCCAAAGGAGAGTGCATGGCTAACTCGGTTCTGTTCTTCAAGGGTATGTTGGCCTTAATTGTAAACATACCCAACAAATAAAAGATGGAAAGAGATGATTATTTCAGTATTATTGTGAGATAATCCTGCCCCCTAGTGGAAAGAAATATGTGGAATACAATGTCATAACTTTTTATAGCATCCAAACAAATTAAGCCACATGCATTACTGGTTAGATTTATGCAAATACATTGGGGTCAAAAGAATTGCCTTATATTAGGCTACTGTAAATAGATGGATAATTAGTCACTATAAACTAAGGATACCCCCCCACCCCGACAGGCCACGATGTGCATATATATGATATTACCACAAGGACGGTGAAGACCAAGACGTGGTCCCACCTGCCCGTCTGCACCTCCGCTCTCCGCTGGCTGGAGCACTACTACTGTTTCCATGGAAACAACTTCACCAGGTTCAATCCGGTGTCCGGAGAGGTGAGCGGTGCCTACCCCAAGGACGCCCGCCACTACTTCATGAGGTGCCCCGACTTCGGTGGGTTTTTATCTGTTAATAAAGTTCCCACGATTTTGTGCAGACCCTCTTTTTTTTGGGGTCGTGGTGTAATCGTCTTCGTTTGACTGCAGGTCATGGAGGTGACTATGAAGTCCCAAAATGCAGCGAGATCAAAATAAATGCCATCTCTACCGATGATGAAGGCAAAAGTTATTTATTTTCAGGTAAAGTTTTTTAAAAAGTAGTCTTTAAAGTAATAGTTTATAATTTTGGGAAATACAGCCATCACAAGACATTCGTTCCATCTGCCCAGGTTCCATGTACGTGCGTCTGGACACGCGTAAAAGCGGCCTTCATTCCTTCCCGATCACCAGGTCGTGGAAGGAGGTCACCCAAGGGGTGGACGCCGTCTTTGCCTACGATGACAAGATGTACATGATTAAGGTAGACTTTAAAGTAACCATCAGAACTTGTGTCCGTGCGCGTGTGTGTGTTGAAGTCAATACTAATATCCGCCCTGCGCTGCTAACCCCCTGCAGGATGACCACGTTTACATCTACAAAACGGCGGCTCACTACATGCTGATCGAAGGCTACCCCAAAACCCTGAACGAGGAGCTCGGCATCGAGGGACACGTGGACGCTACTTTTGTCTGTCCAAATACACACACAGTTTATGTACTCCAAGGTAAGCTTACCAAGTTATTTTATTTTTCTTAGATTTTTTTGGGAGGGGTTGTTGACAAAACATTCAACCCCCCCGTCTCTTTAAAAAAAAAAGTACGAATAAAACGTATTTGGCCCATTTTTCTTCCTGCAGGACGGAATATGCGTTCCGTGGACCTTACCGCCACCCCCAGGGCCGTGGTGGAGGATCTACCCATGCCTTTCTCCGACATAGACGCCGCTCTGTGCAGTAATGAAGGAATCCATTTGTTCAAGGGCTCTGACTATTACCTCTACGAGACCCCCATGATACTGGCTATGAGCAGGATGGCCCCTGTGCCTCAGCCCGTGACCAACGCCTTGTTGGGGTGTCAGGATTAGTAGTTTGTAAGTCAGACCACAGAGTGGAAGGAGCTATATGTGCAAGCTATTGATAAGCCCCCCCCCCCTCCCCATGCATTGTGGAATTTGTGTTGTTTGGTGAATAAAAAATAAAATGTCACATTGGAGAGGTTTTGTCGAGAATAGATCTTTCTTTTTGATCCATGATTCTTATACTTATACATTTTTACAGCTATATAAATATTTGTAATTAACAAAAATTAATTTTATCATGACTTTAAGTCATAGTTCTGTATAGTTGCTGCTCTCTCAGCATGATTGTAAAACAATCATTTGAAAATGCATAATATTGACATTGCGATGTGATTCTAAGGTTCTTTCAGTGGTCATTGGGTGCTTTAAGTGAAGTAATTGAAGTCCTCTCTTACCTCCATTTTCTTTAAAATGACGTTATACTGGGTAAAACAATTACTGTTGGGTCCAAATCAAAATACAAAACCGAGGGACAAAACCCAAACTAAACGTATGGAGTAACGACAGAGATTGTCCACTAGAGGACCTACTGTACAAATTAATGTGCAAGTCTTAACGAGGACGCGTTCTCTCCATTTACACGTGTTTTCTGCCGACCCTTCTTGTGATCACCTGAAGAGGGAGCAGCTGATCCCCTCCTGCAGCGACTTTGCACAGATTTCAATCGATGCATTGCAAAGAGAACAGTATCTTGCAGGAAATACAGTAAACAAAGCTATGGTTTTAGTTGTTTACACTATAAACTTAAATCTGTCTGCTGGATCTTAATCGCTTTTTTTAACTAAATGAAATCCAAATGTTTATGTGCAAAATGTCTAAAAATGTTGGCTATTTAATTCAACATTCCCGGGTCTCTGTCATCATTAAAATAGATAGTTTTTTCCCCAACAGTGCGATTGGACCTTATGGACACGTAGGCAGGACTGCAGTCCAGGGGTCGGATGGTATTAGCAGGCATTCATGGCCCATTCACTCCCTGGAGGGCTTTTTTTTGTTCAGCCAAAATCCCTGGGACTTTGAGCGAGAATAAAGGAAGTGCTGGCCTCAGCACGGCCTAATGGGCGAGGCCTAAGCTCACACATACGTGCACACACACGCACACACACAGACATGCACGTGCTTTTAGAAAGACCACCATATACACACACACACACGCCCAGCAGACCGCAGGGGTTTTGTCTCACACACAGAGCTGCCGGCTATCAAGTAATATTAATGTGTGGCATTGCGATGATGCTAAGATATAATGTGCATTATTTTATAAAACAATAGTAATATTACTTTAAAAAAAGCAAAGGTCCAAAATGAAAAGGATACATTCGATGTGGAGCATGACTCGGATCAGCAAATTCAATCCCAATCTGATTTTGATATTTCTCGCAAACATCTACAGAAAATTAAATTGTACGTTTTAAATAGTTTGTCTCACAATGGTAACACTTAATATTCAGTCGTTTTTTTTTAATCATGGGTTCTTGAAATCACTAATAAAAAGAAGAGGGGGGGGAAGAAATCCGAAAAGAAAAATGCCAACCACGGCAGGAAACAGTTATTGGTACAAAAAAAGTTTATTCAGTAACAATTCTGTAAACATCTGAGGTAAATGAACATTTACATCAACATGTTCCTTAACGAAAAGGTTCAGACGCAAGGCACTTCTCTTCAAAGACAGTCGCTTTACGACGGGAGTGATAGCGGCATGTTGGGGCGCCACGGCAACCCCATCACACAACGACTTGTGTCCTTTCGATTTCTTTACGATTCGTGGCACATCCGGGGTGTAAAAGTCAGAATAGCCAATAGTCTCTCAATCGATGTTCAGGACAGGAAGAACAATTACTTTAGGTTAATTTCTGGTCCATCCCAAGTCCAATTTGATTGTGTTGTTCCCATAAATAAACAAAAATATGTTAATATCCCTCCTCCAAGGACACCCTTTTATTTCTTGTGGCCTATAACTAACTGTGCAATTCTTTATCTACATTTCAAAGATACTAAGAACAGCTTGGTACAACAAGGTTATGAAAAACATCTTCGGCTATAGAAATTAGTAAAATGAACCTTGTTCTCTTTTAGAGACGAAGCTCGACGCAACGTCTTTATATTTTATTGTTTATTTTAGTTGTCCTTTCCCAGAAGGGTGGTTGAACTGGCTCTCTAAAAATGTATCCTTCATATAGTAATATCTTTGGCACAAATAGCTTTTGGTTTGTTAAATATATTTTATCACATCTTACACATCACAGCGAATAAGTTCTTCTCTAAAAAATAAATAATATATTAAGCGCTTCAGCTGCCATAGTGTGCTAAAGTCGCCTATTGGGCACCTCGGTTGATAAGAGACACGTGCATTAGTACATGTAACCGCAAACAATCCATCCGGATGCTGGAAGTTAAACGGTTGCATTCATGACAAGTTTGAAATCGCACACTTTCAAATCAAGAATTCAAAATACGGATCATCCTTTGGCTACATGTTCACAACGTCAAAAACATTGTGTACGTCCAAATAAATTGCGCCAAAAGTTATTTTGATGTGGCACAAAGCCTCGCGGGGAAAGAGTAAACAAAAAGGAACGTTGAGATTCTTTTCTGGCCAACGGTAATTCATGTACTCTCATAGAACATGTCGGCAACCAGCCAAACCGTCCTTTCTCAAATATCTTTAAAAGCTACAAACGAAATGAGGAGGCAGCAAACCTGCAGCCAACTGCTCTTTATGTGGTGTTAGCTGTACGTTAGCTGTTCGTTAGCGGTACGTTAGCGAGTGTTAAGCTAACTTACGATGTGACTACATCCGATGTAACGTGTCTGTGGAAACAGTGGGAACAATGTCGTATGACCCATCGGAGTCTAAGAAGAAACAGGATGGTTACAAGCTACATCTATGCGTCAAACGTTTTTTGCCATTAGTTTGCCAAAACTATATATATGCATCTTTTAGTCGTAGCCTGGTCGACACACCTAACTAAACAATTGGATATGTAAAAGGAATAGTTTATTACTACTCTTGTATCGCTTTCCCTTAGAAACCAAGCCAGGGCCAGGAGACTTAGCATCAAGAGTGGAAAAAATCCACCAAATATTATTTTAATAACTTTAGAACTGAAAACAGAGAACGCCAATTAGCAATTAAGAAGTTAGCATCTCTGCTAATAACACTTGGCTTTACCTCAATTTACTTTGGCCTAAGCTGTAATAGCCCAATACTTTAAATTCACCATTGAGCTGATGGTTACGTTTCAAATTGTCATGAATGCATTTTTAGTACAAAGATTTGAGAGAGAAACATTAACGGAGTCCCTCTAACATCGGACTCATGCAGCATTATAGTCTTCTGAGGAGTATGAACCTATGAGACAATGTCATGGGTTACTTACCTGCTGGTAAAACAATTAACCCGACCTGAGCGAGACTACAGAAAGCACAAAGACTGAGATTTAGTTAAACAAAAAGCTTACTTGAAAAAAGAAAGAAATACTTTTGTTTGTATTGAAATGCAAACATGTGGAATCGCTCTTTACTTTCATTTGTTGGTTTGTGCTTTCTATGCTCAAATGCTATTTAGGCACAGGTGATATGAAGTAGCCATTTTACTATCTTAGCAGTATTATTTTAAGTATTATCAACTTGTATTCTGCAGAGGGAGAAACTCAGAAATACAAATCCTTTGCACCACTCTGCTTAGTTAACTTGCCTAAAAGGATATATTTTTATTTATTTATACCCTTTAACACATTTATAATATAATTTGATAAATCAAGCCTGCAGGGAAGGGAATTCATATAATCCATTTGCTCTTTGCCTTTTGTAGTTGGCAGGAATTATTGAGAAGAACAGGAAACATGTGGGATTGCTGTTAAGAACTGACAGAGAAATACAAGTTAGCACTTCTTTTTTTGGATCATATTGCTTTCCTTTTTCTTTTTCAACAAAAACCTAAAGCTACCGTGTAATCTACAGCTAGTCTAGGAAAAGAACTTAGGAGTCCTCCTATAGCGAGCAGCTTGGGGGAACTCGACAGTTCTGTATCACACTGCAAACTCAAGCATCAGAAAGAAGCGTACTGATTTTTATGCTCTGTTCAAGCTGCAGCGCTACTGTAAATATGGATTAAGGATTCTTTTAGCAAATTACCTCGAGTCTTCGAACATTTTTGCATAAAGTGACCCGTGGTCAGCGCCAGAAGAAATCTCTAAAGCACTTCATTTTCTCTGTAAAAGTCGCTCTAAATTTGCAGCTTGACCAGAAACTTAAAAAAAAATGCAGGTAGGTCTGTATAACATCCTGTGGTGCCTGTCAACACTATCAATCATTATATATTTACATATGTATATACTTTATATAGTTTGCTCCGATGCAACTCCAGAGATGTCATTGTGTAGACACTAAAACAAGATGAAGGTAACGCACGCGCGCACACACACACACACACACACACACACACACACACACACACAGACAGCCTGTGAGCCCTAAGGACTCGGTATGTCTCAGTGGGGGGCTGCTTTACCGCCCGCCTGTCACCGCGTCCCTCTCTTCATTGAAACTACAGGCCGGCTGAGCGCACACGGACACACCCAACGCGACGCCACCGACCGGTCAGCTCCATCATCACGTGACGGAGAAAGAAAAAAAGAAAAAACAAGGGGAAAAAAGTGCAAACCTCTCCTCTGATTTGTGCCGGCAAAGATAAATGGAAGATAAGATGGAAATCATTGCTGCCGCTACGCTCCCAAAAAAACGTATTAGTTAGTCCAATCATCATCACAATAACCTTTCCTTATTTGTTTGTGTGTATATGTACACACTGCAGGTGTGTGAGTGAGAATGTGTTAGTGATTCCCTATATGCCTTCCCTGTCCTTATCCAAAGCAAAGTTAGAGTTTGGCCAGTTCAGTCAGTGGCAGCAATGTTTGCTCTTAATTTTTTTTAAATGTAGCCGCTATAATACATCCTCTGGAGATGTTGGAGACCCTTAGTGCTGATTGTATGTTCAACTTAACGGTTTTACAGAATTTGACAATTTGCTAGAATGTCTTCCTAACTAACGAGCCAGAGCCACAAGTCGGTTAGCTTAGCATAAAGACTGGAGGCCTGGGGAAACAGCCGCCAATCATTTATTTTCCATTTTCCCTCCAGTTTGATACAAAGAAGCCTTTTGAATGTTGTTAAACGTTGGATAAAGTTAGAGATCTGTGCAGAAATGACCCCAGGTGTGTTGCTAGGAGATTTCTGCAGCGCCGCACTTATGAGTCCAGGGGCTCATGTCTGGCCAAACTCTTTCTGTCCCTCTCCCTATTGTTCATATGTGTGACATTACAATATTTAAAATAAGCAGCCACCTCCAGCCTAATGTGTCCTTGCAGAATCGTCTTTCACTGGAGGACGTGCGTGCGTGTGTTTTAATGCTTTTAAGCATATGTGGAAAAAAAGAATGCTCGTGTAGGTTTCCTGTGTGTAGACAGCATGTCTGCGTGGTTGTGTGAATGCGTGATGGGGTGTGTGTGTGTGTGTGTGTGTGTGTTTTATCTACACTGCCAGGTCGTCGGGGCGAGCTCGGACACCGCCGCTCTTGCCGGACCGACTGGGCTTTGGGACGTCTCTCGTGGCAGAAGTGGGAGGCGGATGCATCTCCGCCTTGATAACCACGGTGAAGTTGTCGTGGAGGGCCGTATGAGGGGACGTGTCCTCGTCCGCCGCCGCCTCTTCAGGTGCGAGCGGAGACAGGGGGGTGTGACGCGGAAGTGTAGGAAACGTGGAGTGTTGCTCCCCGTGTGGAAGTGGCGGGGCGGTATCCTCTCGGGGAGAGGAAGAGGCGGATGTGGGAGGAGAGGGAGACGGGTAGGAGGCGGAGGAGGAGGATTCCTTCCCTTCCCGATTGTGGAGCTCCAGCGACATGTTGCTCCAGTTCTGCTCCGTCTCCATCCGCTGCTCGCGGCACCCGTCACTCCCTTTCCCGGCGTGAAAAGACGTAGGCAGCGAGTCCAACAGGAAGTCGTCTGGGTGGAACAACGCGGCGTCCATCTTGAATCTGGCGGGCACCACTGGTGCGCAGGCTTCGGTCGAACTGTAGGCTCCTCCCTCTTCAGCCCCGACCCCTGCCACGTTCACGGTGGCGTACACCGGCAAACAGTCGAGCGTCCGCGGGTACGTCTGCTCGCGGATCGTCTCCGGGTCCCCGGGCTCGTCCCCGATCAGCGCCGGAGACTCCCCGCCGGGGGCGAACTCGTTGGAGACCCCCTGCTTGACCTTCTTCCAGCCCAGGTGGTAGATCTCCAGCAGGTTGAGGAGCAGGGAGACACAGGCCACCACCAGCATGAAGATGATGAAGATTGTCTTTTCAGTGGGCCTGCGACAACAGACACACAAAACCACATTTCATTCACAAATGTATGAAGAAAGACTTTACCAAGAAATAATGTGACATAGGGAAAGCTTTCGCTTTTCACGACCCGGCAGAGCCAGAAGCTAACGTTGCTAACAGCACAAACAACGGCAACGGAGCTAACGCCGTCCACCGGAGGACGGCAGCTACACTGCCATGACGACGCGGCGTTGTCAGGGCGCATTGCATGGTGGCAACAGTGACCAGGGGTTGATCTGTTGCGTGTGAACAGAGACACAAACATGAGATCCGACAGTCTGACCTGGAGATGAAGCAGTCCACGGTGTTGGGGCAGGGCCAGCGGCCACACTTGTAGAGCGGCCTCAGGCGGAAGCCGTACAGGAAGTACTGTCCCAGGATGAAGCCAACCTCAAACAGAGTCTTGAAGATGATGTTGAAGATGTAGGTCCTCAGCAGTGCCCCGCGAATGCGGATCTTCCCGTGCTCATCGCGGATTGGCGGCTTCTCTTTCTTTCCTCCCCCATCAGCGGCTCCGAGGTGATAGAGCGGATCGTGGTCCTCCTGGTGCCGCCCGGCCTTCCGGAGCTCCTCCTCCCTCTCCCTCCGCTTCTCCTCCATGCGGACGATGTGCAGCACATGGCCCAGGTAGATGAGGGTCGGCGTGGAGACAAAGATGATCTGCAGCACCCAAAAGCGGATGTGGGAGATGGGGAAGGCCTCGTCGTAGCAGACGTTCTCGCAACCGGGTTGCTGGGTGTTACAGGTGAAGTCGGACTGCTCGTCGCCCCAAACCTCTTCGGCCGCTGCGCCAAGCACCAAGATGCGGAAGATGAAGAGAACGGTCAGCCACACCTGGGGAGAGGGGTGGGGGGTGGACAGACAAAAAAAAAAAAAAAACACAGTGAGTCCAGAAGGAGAAAACATCTAAACTGTGGCTATTCGGGTGTTGGAAGATCATGCAAGGAGAGTGATATAAACCTGAGGCCAAGACATTTCATATCCTATCAAGTTAATCAACAGTCAATCGGTCACCTTTCCAATCACAGTGGAGTGTTCCTGAGCGTTCTCCAGCAGCCGCCCAAGAAAGCTCCAGTCACCCATGCTTCACTCGATTTTCTAGCCTTTGGAGGAAAAATAAGAGTGTGTGAAGAAGAAGACGCAGGGGGACACCAGGAAGCAGAGAGGACAGCAGAAAGAAAAGAGCTGCCAGAGACGCATTGGAAAGCATTTTGAAAAGAACAAAATCATAACCCACAGAAACGGGTCACATTCTTTGTGTCATATTTTAAGTCTATTTAGCAAATATCTCTTGAATGAAAATAAACTGGGCATTTGTTGGGGACTATTTTCAGCGGTGGACCAATACACACTACTGCAGCCAAATACGCTTCTAATCTGTGCTGCAAACGCTTTTCTTAGAAGAACGTGAGATGTCATTTTTCTTCCAGGTTTGGAAGTCAGGAATGACAACAAATAGTGTCACCATAAGATGAAGGCCGACTTACTAAAATGTTGTTGTATCGTCAGTGACAAATCCATCGACCAGAGATCAAGAAGAAAAACTATATCTGGAGAGAAGAGACAGAATCAACTTCATTCGTTATTTTCAACAATTACAGGAAAATATCAATGACATGAATAAAATCTCACCACTTTTACCTCTTGCTTAATCTCGTCGTCTGCATGGACTCAGTTTATCGTACATGCATTCATGTTTAGTGACTCTTCTACTAACATAAAGACCCCTGCATCCAAATCTGCATGCTTTCGTGAATCATTAAATAGGAGGACAATATGGTTTTACGCGCAACTGCATGCCAGTCTCTGCGAATGTGGATGCATGTATATTTATCCATGGGAGGAGAAATTGGTGCGTGCAGATGTACATTTTTTTGTGCGTGTGTGTGTGCGTGTTTTTCCGTGTGTGTGCCTTGCGGGACAAAGGCCAGCCATCTGTGGGAAGTGAATGAGTGGATCACAGGTTGCGCCAGTTGAATGCCGGACTCATCACATCCCAGGAATGCTGAGGAGGGCAAATGTTTGCCTGGGATCGACTGATGTGTGCACGCACACACGCAAAGCCACGCATTGCGAACTTGTTTCACTTGTGATATGACGGTTAAATGCCAGACTTGTATCCATCAGCAGTCAAACACTGAAAGGAAATCAAATAATCTTAATAAAAAACTTTCTGTTGCATTGGCCCCTTGATACAATAAATGTAAATTTGACTAAATAGAAGTCCACGACTTCTATGACGTTTACAGTCGAGGGAAGTGGTGATAATATTCTCAGTAAATAAACTACTGTAACTGTCTGCTGACGTGCCGGTGTTGCATCGCCGCGAGTACATGTACATTATGTGTTGACGTGATGAAATACCATCTGTCAAGACAGACAATAGAGAAGCTCCCAGATGGACATTGTCCTGGCTGGACTGTGCTTTTGATGGATCAGTGGTCTTTGTGCTAAAACAGCTCAAACAGTTAACTCTTGGCCTGCTGCGTTCACCCCGAAATCCAACCTAAGATAGGCAGGCAGTTCACACCAAAGGCTTTTCTGTGTTAAAAGTGCAGTAAAAGCCCAAAGGTGAAGAAAGTGGGCAAAGGTGCATGATATTTTCAGTACCGATGCATTGAGGTGCGTTACGTGTCACTTAATGAGTAAAGATTCAGTGTAATGACTGAACCGGGGTGTAAAGGTGCAATGTCACAAATGTAAATACCGATGCTAAAAGTGAAAAAAAGGGTTTTGTGCCCCAAAGTCCATCCGCTGAAAGAAAACATCCCACAGTGAACAAGGAACGGCCTGCGTAGATGTACAAAATACATCATCATATTCATAATAATGAAATGAAACACGTGGATAATATTCAGCACTTTTAGAGTTGATGCAAAACTGCAAATGTTGAAACTTTACCAACTCGTACAATAAAGACCAAAGTGCCACTTTATGAACATTGGATGGCTGTTAATGGGGACACAAGCTTTCACGGTGTATAGATTATTATACATTGTACACCACAATTCTTTTTTTTTTGATAAGAGTTATAATTAATCCAATTTGGAACATTCAGTCACAGAACCTCGACGGCTTCCTGCGCCCCTCCTTTCCCACGGGGAAGTGAACGCAGCACGAGAGGTGCTCGTAATCCAGCAGGTGGATGGATGATAATCCCTCCTCCTCCCTCCCACTCCACCCAAACACCAGCACTCCAGTTTCCACTCCACCTGCTTACCGCTCTCCTCTGAGACGCGTGTCCCCCCCCGGCAGCACGCTCCTTCGCTCCTTCCTTTTCCTTCCTCTCCTTTCGTTAACTCCCACGGGTGGGCTCGAGGCGACCGGGCGAGGAGTAGGTGAGATTAGTGGGAGGGAGAGAGACTCACAGAGAGAGAAAGAGAGAGAGAGAGAGAGAGAGATGGGGGTGGGGGGGGGGTGCGTGCTTGTATGCGCGGGAGCGCGCCTGTGTGTGTGTGTGTAGGGGGCAATAGGTGTCTGCATCACTATAAAGTCCAATTTATAACTGTTTTCAAAACAACACTACTACTAAAAAGCACATACAAAAAAATATTCTTCAGCGTAGTATTTTTTATTTCAACAATTTTTTAAACTAAGATTATCATTATTTATAGTGGCAGGCAGTAGTAGTTGGAACCGTATTGGGATTAGAACACGTACTACTCAGCAGGAGACTAATATGACCGTAATTTGTGCAAAATGGGAAGATAATTAAAAACAATTAAAAGATTTAAATAAATTAAATACAAATGACAAAGACAATCGGCATATCATTACATTTAGCATCACTTTCATGCTTTTACTTGTCCTTGAGTATGTTATCAAAGTTTTTTGTTAGAAGGTTAGAAGTTATTTCAGCGTGGTAAATTGTCATGAGGGGAAAACATGCCTGTTTACAGACAGTGAGGGGGGGGGGGGCATGAACCAGTAGAGGTCAACACAGGTTAATACAGTAGATTAAGTTTGTCCATTTCTTTCCTTTTGTGTTAAAAAATTAAGTTCCACTTGTTTTATGACTTAGTTATTTACATGGTTTGATTAAGTGAATGAATGAAATATTCAGTTATAATTATTATTGTTGTTAAATCGTACTATTTATTTTCAATGAAATCTTTGATAGTTGATACCGATTACGTCTCCTCACCCGCTTGAATGTGAGTTCAAAACATCTAAGTTAGCTGGAATTGACTCCAGCCCCCCCCCCCGCGACCCGCGACGGAAAAGCAGTTTGAAGATGGATGGATGTATATGAAATAATGTGTTCTGGTATTTACACATGCTGCAGAGCATTCACATGTGTAACTATTCAGTCAGATGTCTTTAGTCCATCTGGTTCCTGCTTCCTCAGGTTGAGACAAGTGACACGTGGGTAGTCTTATTGTGCGTCCTCTCTCGGCCGGATTTTTTGCATTTCTTCCTCTGATGACTACGGAGAGTGCTGGAGGAGAAGAAGTTGTGCATTTAAGGACTTTTTTACCTTGTGAGAACCCACAGGAAGGATGAATGAATTCAGATTTGAATTAATCACTAATCACCTGACAGTCTGACTGATTAATACCTCTACCTAGTGACAGCCTTGGCAACAAGATATGCAAGTTCCGCCATGTTAAGGACCATGCAGATAGAGGAGGCGGTGGCCATGAAGACGGTGAAGATGGTTTTCTCGGTGGGGCGAGAGATGAAGCAGTCCACCAGGTTTGGACACGGCCACTGGTCACACTGCACCAAGCGAGGCATCTGGAACCCGTCGTACACCACGTACAGGGCATACCTGGAGAGGCAAAGACACGTGCTGTGTGCAGATAGGCAACATAGCACAACCACACCGAACCAGCAATACGGCAGACACGCAGAAAAACCAAGGTGGCAGGTCATACATGAAGCCTCCTTCAAACAGTAACCTGCACACCAGGCTGCAGGCGTACGTCCACCAGAGGGCGCCAGCTATTGGGAGTCTCCTTCTCCTCAGAGTCTCCAGGTCTTCCTCCTGGCCTTTGCTGGTGAGGAAACCCGCTCTACCTGAACCCTGTGGAGCAACATGATATGACACCGTTAGGCTAGACGAGATACCGCATCAAATATGTCATAACGCGTCAAGATAAAATCAACAATATTGAGAATATAAAAGCATAGCATGAAAAGATAAAATAAGCTTTCACATAAACTGACAAAAGGTAGTATGAAGTTAACAAATAAAGCATGAGAAGAGACGCGAGTCATGACGAGATGAACAATGACATGACAAGTTGAAAGACAGATCCATTCCAACAAAAAATACATGACAAAACTCACAAGATAAACTTGGCCTCTCACAGGTAATTTATCACACAGCAACCAGGGAACTCAAAGTGCTTCACATAAAACCATTAAAATATAAGGAAAAGTGAATTTAAAAAACAATTATAAGCATTGATTTAAAAATAAAAACTGACATTAAATCAACAAACAAGCTAAAAATGTAATACAAATTTTTGTTTGAAGATTTGTGGAGCAGAAGAACTGAATTCTGCCTCTCCATGTTGGTTCTGACGCTGGGAGGAGACCCGTCCCAGACGACCTGGGCGGTCGGGATGGTTCGTACGGTAGCATCTGGTCAGGCAAGTATTTTGGCCCTAAACCATTCAGTGCTTTATAAACCACTAGCAGGATTTTAAAAGACAAGACCTGGGATAAAACAGGTCTGTATTCCACCAGGACAAATAGAACTGTACACACACCTGTAGGAGCCTCTTTTTGTCACTGTGGTTCCGATAGGCCACATGCATTGCAACCAGGAGTGTTGGCGTGGAGACAAAGACAAGCTGGAGACACCATAGACGGATGTGGGAGACAGGGAAGAACTGGTCGTAGCAGACGTTTTCACAGCCAGGCTGGAAAACAGGCAGATGACGATGAACACGGGTTGCTTCATAGACATTCAAATAACCCAAAGACAAAACGATTACATTTATTGGGTGCCCTACCTGTAGTGTGTTGCAAGTGAAGTCAGACTGTTCGTCCCCCCAGACGCTCTCAGCAGCGACAACCAGCACCATGACCCGGAAAATGAAGAGCACCGAGAGCCAGATTTTACCCAAGCTGGTGGAGTGTCGGTTCCCCCCGACCAACTGAGAGTACAGAGCCGGCCAAGACATCCCGAGGAAATGGCAAACCTGAGGAGGACGACACACTGATGCGACAACAGCTGTCGGCGGAAGAGCGGATTTCCTTTTGAGACACAGATCTGACAGCGGCACAGAGGGAAATTCAGAAGGGGAGGCAGTGGCAACAGATGAAAGCGGAGAGGGCCGACGAAACAAAAGAGAAGTCTGATGCAAGAAGGGGATGAGAAGGAATGAAAGTGAGAGGAGGAAGAGCGAAGCGGCAGAATTCATGTGAACTAATGATCCTCTCTGCCCACTGTGGACGATACTGAACCGAGCCCACTCGTCTAAAGACACACTGAACACACTGTACCCCTACAGTGCTCACTGATCATCGCTATTGATGGACTTGTTCACTGCTCTCCTCTTCCAAAAATGATGTCTTAAAAAATATTATTTAAATAAATAAATCGTCTTACCTTGCGGTCAAGTTGTTTCCTATATGAAAACAAACAACAAGTTTGATGTCACATGACCCGCAGCATGGTAAAATAAATAAACTCGTATACGGAGCCAAATTCAACCTGCAGCTCCTCCTTCCTTTCCATTGAATAAGGACGTGAGCCTCCGTGTCAAGACAGCCAGAAGAATATAAGAAGACTTCTGGTGGGTAATTTCAAAATAAAATATTACATATATATATATATATATATATATATATATATATATATATATATATATATATATATATATTTAAAACGTTTTTTTAGAGTAGTTACATTGGATATTTACAAAGAAATGCAGCAAAAGAAAGAGTCCTAAAAAAACAACAGGGAAGTCGCATACGCATACATCCTGAGTTTCAGTCACAAGCGTGGGTTCCTGCTATTTCCGCTGTGCACACCTTTTACTACAACTTCATTAATCTATTTAAGTGTTTATATGTCAAACTTGTTTATGTTTTCTACTTTGTGAAGCTCCACCAGAGCCACTTCAGCTGTAAAAATAAGTGAAATGTGCCTTTAATCAATGCAAAGTCACTATGTATTTGACAGCAACAATGTTTACAAATGTTACACAACTCAATTTGGTGGAAAGTAAATGGTCAAAGAACAAAGTCGTATTGCGGTGACAAAAAGTGTGTGGGCTTCCACGTATGTGTGTGTTTGCGATCCCCGTTGTGACTGTAACAGGACACAGGTAGTGACTTTTCAGAGCCCGACCGTCCCTTGGCAGCGCTCAGCCTGGCGGAACAGTGCAGCTCTGTGCTCTGCTAATGACTGCGACCGACGAGCGAATCCAACTGTTTGTTAAAGTGTGGGAGCAAAAACAACTTCCTCGGTTCACACTGAGGATACTCACAGAACTGAAATGAAAATATCTGGCGGAAGCAGTAACGTGCATATTCAGTTTGAGCTACAGTGTTAAGAAGGGCGTACATAGTCATATCTATGTACACACCAAAAGAGTAGTTTGTTTAAGAGTTATGATTTGATTACAAATTGGTATCCCTTTCCATAAATAATGACGCTAGACTCGTACGCACAGTAGCTAGAGCCTCTGCAATCTGTTTTGCAAAAGGAACAGCAAAGATCTCAAGGGGCAGGACAAGGAATTGGGTTTCAGACTAAGAGGACGTCTGTGATTCCAATATCATTATGGGAATAACAGTGCCACTTACTCCTGATGCATATCGATGAATGGATATCAGTGTCAGGACCGGACTCAAAGACCCACTGTTTGATCTCTCAGTCAGGATTGAGGGAGAAAGGCGGGCAGATTGTTTTCAGGCGGGTCCATACCATCCATACTGGTGGGAGGGAGCAGAGGTGGTGGTGGCACTGGTGGTGGTAGAGGGGGGTCATACAAAGTGAATGAGTAGAGAGAAAGAGAGAGCGGTAAAACAGAGCTGATTGTTAGAGTAGCTCCTGATCAGCTGGCCAGCGGGAGAACAGAAGGGGCCAGTGTCAGGACACACACACACACACACACACACACACACACACACAAGTTACCCACGACGCTAGCTACACACACAGTAGTAAGTGTGGGGGACAGCAACATGTGACTAAGTTCCGTGGGTGGACTTGGCCGACTGATCCTGGTCCAGCCAGTAGGAAAGTCTTGATGATTTATGTGAATCATGTTACATTTCCTTCAGTAAAAATTAAGCAGCATCAATGGTACTTGATACTAAAATACATTTTTACTATGAATCATTATAATGCAAAAGGAAACAAAAGGCACATGAACAACTTGAGACTGTACCGACAAAAACTGTTATTTTGCCATGATGAAGGGAATGCTTAGAAACTCCGAGTCAGCAGGGAGCGATAAAGTTGTCGCTTGAAACGACACCGGAAGCGGAAACTCCTCCGTCGCTGCAGCTACGAGAGAATATCCAGGCGAGGTGGTGGAAGCTAGCACAGATACCTTAAGAGAGCATTAACATAACGGCGAAAAATAACAATGGCCCTTGAATCACGGATTACGCAGGAAGAAATTAAGAAGGAGCCAGAGAAGCCCATTGACCGAGAGAAGGTGAAGCGCCCGTTTTTACCGTTAGCCTGTTTACTTACGAGCTCTACGTTAAGCTAACTGGGTTCTGCTAGTAGTTAGCTTTGAATGCGACGCTAACAGCGTGGATAATGTTTGACTAACATTAACCACGGACTCTAAGCACCACGACACAAGGACTCCGTATTCAAGCTCTGCTTTATGATTCGTTAGGTGCCAGTCATCATATATAACGTTAATTAACGTTTCCCGGTCCGAGCCATAGGCTAGGGCTAGCTCGCTAGCATTTGGCGCTAGCTAAAAAGAAATCACACAAGCTAGCAATTTCTCGTCAACTTAACATTAGAGATAGATGAAGTGTTTTATTTATGCAATGACTTACTGTGAGATGTTCGTAGCATCGTTAGGCCACATTCCCGCCGGAACTTAAACTCTCAATGAAACCTATCGGAAAGACTTATTGCAATTTGGGTCAACACTCAACTTGCTAAATGCAACTTTCAGGTGGAGGTTAGCAACAAACCGGCGGTACGTATTTAATTCAAGTGAACTAACGTTAAGTACTGTCACGGTTTCCAATGCCAAGCACACATCGATGCTTTAATTCAAACTTACCCCGGGCCGGTTGTCCCAGAGGGGGGAACACGTCGTAAATCGCAGTTTGACGTCACATTAGTTAATTAAAGAGGGAAATGAGTGACTGACACGAGATACGTTGTAAGCGTTTGAGGACATTCGTCTTTCCACAGGTGTTTCTAATGTGTTCTCCTGTATTCATTCAGGGTGGACCACGCTAACTTAGTTCATTAACTATCCATTCAGGTGCTATTTACACTAGAAGGTGACCTCCTGACAATGAACCAATTTCCACATACATTTACTAACTAACTTCACTGTTAAACGTTAATTGGCATTTAAAATGTCGCACGTTGTAGTTCCTTGATGTGACCGCTAGCCAGCGGACCTCTGCAACGCCACTAATGGGACTTTCAAAATAAAACTTGCCCCTGCATTATCATTCCATGTTTATCTTTAGTGTGTTCACATCCAAGGAATCCTGTTGATCACTGCAGTGCAACCAAATTTAATAACGAAACCAATCTACTAAATCTAAACAATTTACCCGTGTTGCCATTCTGCATTCTCTACTTTTTTTTTTTTGCTGCAGACCTGCCCTCTTCTGCTGCGTGTTTTCACCACCAACAGTGGTCGCCACCACAGAGCAGACGAATTTAACCGCGGCAACGTTCCCTCCAGCGAATTGCAGATATACACATGGTGAGAACGCAAACCGTAGCTTTGTTTCAATCCAGTATTTGCTGGGGGGTTTACGGTGAGTTAATAAAATGGGGGGAGAGCTCCTTGTTCAGGTAACATCTGTGTTTTATTTTCAGGATGGATGCTACTCTGAAGGAGCTGACTAGCTTGGTGAAGGAAGTGTATCCAGAGGCCAGAAAAAAGGGGACCCACTTCAGCTTTGCCATAGTCTTCCCCGACCCCAGAGGAAAAGTGTACAGGTTGGTGTCATACAACAAGTTGACCAAGGGAGCATGTCTCCTGCTTAATGTTGAGGTGAATTTGTGTTCACTGCATCTTAAACTATTTTCTGCCCCTTTTTCTTTGCAGGTTGAAGGATATCGGCAACACTGTATCCGGCAGGAAGGGCGCGGATGACTCCATGACGTTGCAGTCTCAGCGCTTCCAGATCGGAGACTATCTGGACATAGCCATCACACCACCCAACAGGGCCCCACCTCTTAACACACGCATGAGGCCATTCTGAACATAAACACAGACACATAAACCGACATCCAACAACCGTAGTTTTTGTTTTGTTTATCCCTTTCAATTGCATCATCTTTGATGCTTTTTGCCTCATTTTATAGAATGTGACGTGTAATAAAAGTTGTAATTTTTTTCCAAAGTTTGTCCTTTTCTTTGTAACATGGGGAGATTATATTATTAGTTTGTTTTCTGATTGTTTAAAAATCTACTTTAATGGGGGTGGGGGGTACTTACATTTGGTCTACGGTCAACATTTTGTAGTGATATTTCAGCAATGCTTGTAAAAATAACTAATGCTCTTGAATGAGCTTATGTCAATTGCATTTGATTTAAAACACTAAAATTAGCTCATTTCGACCCGAAACTACACAAATGTACATGATGAAATCTGTATTATAGCCAAAAGAAACATGGGAAGCAAATATTTCCGATGTATGCAGTGCGGGTGGTCAGTGTGGAACTTTATTGCGGTAGTCTTAACAGGAAGCTGCTGGTGCTGCGCATGCGTAGTGCTACACACGGACCGCTAACAGGACAGCAAAGATAGCCAACTGCTAGCTGAAGAAAGCAGCTAGTTACACACAAAACATACGTTGAAATGTTTCACAGAAAATTGACAGCGCTAGACTACCACAATCCCAGCGCATTCGACTGCACAGGTAAGACGAAACCCGTAAACGTGATGCAGTGAGTTCAACGTGGAGCCGGAGTCCTGCCAATGGAGGCGGCGATACGTCAAACTCCGTTGACACAATAGCAGTTTTTACCTTCTTTGTGGCTGTTAAATTTGTATATGATTGTTCACGAGATAGAACAAAGTTTACTTCCTTCTTAAACTCCACACCTTTATTCGGCAGTATTTCTATACAGAATGCCAGCGTGTCTGCAGTTTGATTCAAACAGTTCATGTGTCACGTTTCATAACTTGAAAATTAGCAAGTTAGCTAACATTACAACAACGTGAAAGGTGCATTCATTGGCGAACTGCGAGCTCGCCCGAATTACTGTGCTGTAAATATAAATCATCCCTTATTCAAGACGGGGAAGTTCACGCTAACTTACCCGGACACAAAAGTGAACTCGGGTCACTGTCGTCCTGTCGGAAGTCACGTTAGCTGTTCAGCAGACGTGAAACAACAATAATTCCATAATTCACTCTGACTTTCTAACACGACGGTACAACTACTGCATGGAAGTCAGCCATCCGTCCATATATACAGATACACCCACCTGTCATCTCTGCTCAGATGACACACAGTACAGGAACTGCGTGGTGTGGCTCGAGGACCAGAAGATCCGACATTATAAGATCGAAGACCGAGGAAACCTGAGGAACATCCCGAGCTCGGACTGGCCCGAAGCCTACCAGAAGGTGGGACCACTTGACTTGTGTCTGACATGAACGCTACGGGGAATAGGAGATTCATCATTCCTTACATTAAGTGTGTTTTCCTCGGGCTCAGTACCTGCAGGACCTGAACTGTCCATTTGGGGCTCAGGAGAAGCAGGAGTCAGTGGACTGGTTAATGGGCCTGGCTGTAAGATATGAATATGGAGACAATGGTAAGTAGTATTATGTGTACATAGGCTGTGATACTACTACCACCACTACTACGCTGTAATACCGCTGGTGACCGATAGGTGGATACATTGTCTAAGGAATCGGCTTTCTGACGATGCCGCCTCACAACTCACCCTGTTACTGAAACAAGTGTCTTAAAGCGTGTTAATAACAATCTTAATATTCCTGTGATTTCCTCACGTTACACGGTAATGTATTCTCTGTACAATGTTTGTATTGTTTCAGTGGATAAGTATAAGAACTGCGAGCCGCTGGCCGCCTTCAGCAACAGTAACACAGCGGTTGTGGATCCTCTCTTCAACCTGGATGGTGGGAAGAAAAACGCCGCGCTCTGCTTTGACATGTTATTTTAGATTTGGTAAAGTCATCCCTTATTTTGTACTTTCTTTCTAACTATTTTTTATAGGGGATTCTCCAGATTTCAAAGCAGGAGTGACGGCTCTGGCCAACATCCTAAAGATCCAACGGCACGACGACTACCTGGTGATGCTCAAGGTGTTCCCACTCGCCGTGCGCTCACCGTGTTATTGTCTGCTTTCAAGACTTTAAATCTTAGAGGGATTTGTCATACTAAAAAGTGTGTGTGTGTGTTACGTGCTCCCACCAGGCTATTCGTATCCTGATCCAGGACAAACTATCTCCAGAAGCAATCACCAAAGCCAGCCACAAACAAGAGGTATTGCAATATTCTTCATCAGAAATGACATCTAAAGACTCTTCCAGGTTCCGAGGAAACCTAAACTTTGTTGTTTACGTTCCCCAGGGTATTCCAGTAGCTTTAGACAAGCATGTCTTGGGCTTCGACACTGGAGGTGAGTACGGCAACCGGGAATATAAAAATATGCAATTCCTGTATGGGCTTTTGGGATCCCAAAGATTAATATCGGAACTACTGGCATCCACATTAAAATCCATGTAACCCTCAGATGCCACCCTGAACGAAGCGGCTCAGATCCTGCGCCTGCTGCACATCGAGGAGCTGAGGGAGCTCCAGACCAGGATCAACGAGGCCATCGTGGCCGTGCAGGCCATCATAGCCGACCCTAAGACCGACCACAGGCTGGGCAAGGTCGGCAGATGAGGGGCGAGGATAACGACGGGGGGACCGCAGGGGTTTTCATTTGATTTTGTGGGGGGGGGTCTTTGTTGGACATACATGAGTTTGATTTTGTTCTGTATGAGGTCAGACTGATGAGATTTGGGGAGTCTTGGAAGCTAACGTGTTTTTGCTGGATTCCCCATGGAGGCTTACGCGTTAAGTGGATCTCTTCGGACTGAGGTCTCACCGTCTGCTCGTCTCCTCGCTGCCGCCGTCTCTCCCTCAAAGGGAAACCACACAGAAGCTGGAAATATTCAAAACTGACAGTTATATTTGTATCTTTTGTTTCCAGATGGAAGAGCAGGTTATTTTGAAATGGTTTACTTTTGACGTTTTGTGGGGACACCTATAAATACAGATGAACACAGATGTTTGTCTCCTCTGCTTCTTGCTTCGTTCCTCTGCGGAAAACAACTTCAACAAGAAAATGTCAAGTACCAAATCACATTTTATTGTTATAAATATCACATCTTATAAAAAGATAAAGATTTGAAAAGTAGTAGCAAAAAATATTTGGCAAAAGAAGTCCTTTCATCATGTTTGTTTAAAATCGAGGTATGGCTCAATCTGACGGAATCAGATTGAGCTCAACGGGGGTTAAAAAAAACGATTTTGTGGAATTTGAAAACCCTTTTTGCCAAAAACTAAATGAAAAGATACCACTAAGTTTCCCCAAACACTTGAACTCACCCTTTTTTACCGGTGTATTTATATTTTTTAGCATCCACTCTGAATGCAAACAAAGACGAGATAAAGCAGCTGTTTCTTCACAGACCTCTGGACAGATCTTCACATCATCCTTGGCAGGAAACCAACACTCACAGGTTGCAAATTTGTTCTTTAGCTTTAAATCGATAGAAAAACAATTGCGTACAAAAAAAAAACAAAGCAACAAATGAGGTATAAAACAAATTTACAAAACAATTATTTGGGGGGGGGTTATATCTTTAAGGTAAGATAATTGAGGTGGAGTGTGGGGGGGCTTGTAAATCTGATCTGAAGCTGGATCTGCCAACAGGAAGCCATCATGTGCCCCGCTGAGTGTCCTTTTTCTTATATTTCTGAGGGACACTGGAGAATATTGTTTTAAGGTGGTCGCCCCAGAACTTTAGCACCAAAGGAAGCTGCAGCGGCCGTCCTGTTGTCAGTGGCTCCCTGGGACACACAAAACCACACATTTAGAGGACAAAATATGACTTTGTACAAAACTCCCTTTTTTATTTTTTTCCACCGATCCTCTCTTCCTGTGTGAATCCCAAAATGTGACGCGATTGAAGGTCTGCTGCGGCGGCCTAATGAGAGAACAAACGGAGCGCCCGTCCCCGAACAAAGCCTCGCACTGACAGCTTCTCCCCCTGAAGAGCTTGTGCGTGTGCGTGTGTGTTCAACAATAACAGCCTTTAAGCCTCTCACAGCCGGCTCTCAAGACCCTGAACACAAGTGTTTTAGAGCCGTCATCACGGCCACAATTACAGCCAACGTCTTTGAAGCTGTTATTCGGCGCGAGGCTTCGGATCGCGTGAGGAGCCCGTGACTTCCTGTAGAAACGCTCGCCGCCCCGACCCAACTCTCCCCTTTACGCTCCCTCGCCTGGCGGCATCTGCCAAGGTGCTACTTTAGGGATCATCCTGTGTTTAGAGGGGCGACTTTGTACTTCTTTTGTTTTAATACGAAGCTTCGGGAGGACGCGAGGCCATCTGCAGGCGGCGACACATCAAACGTGGCGCGAAAGCACAAAATACAGGCGGGAGGGGTCGCGAGCAGCTGTGTAATCACTGTCCTCCTGTCTGTTTCACACACGGAGGGAGGCGGGGGGGCTCGGAGCCAGCTGTGTGGTGAACGCTAACGACAACAAAGCTATCCACTTCAGGCGCAAACTATTCATTCATGTTTAGGGACAGCGTCTCCGTTATATGCTACCATATTACAGGGACGCCGTCCCAAAACACCAAGGAATAGTTTTATGTGGCATGAGGTGTAAAAATACTAAATAATAAAAAGAAAATACATGAAGTCTATTTCTCGCTCACTGACAGACCCAGAATCTATTCAATCTATAATAGAGTACAATGTAGCTGCTATACTATTATTCTACACTCAATGTGGTCCCTGAACGCGTCCTTTTTTAAGGACACGCAAAGCGCTGCTTTTGTTTCCTTAAGATCCCTACGCAGATTGTGTGTGTGAGAGTGTGTGTGTGTGTGTGAGTGCATAAGGGCATTTGGTTGTTGTTACACAGAGCTTTGATTACACAAGTGAACGCGGTGCGACTGACGCAGGGTGGCATCTTGAGGGCAGGATTTTGTATATTTTCAGGTTACCTGATAGACAGTGGGTGGTCGCTATGGCAATGCCGTACAGGTGAGAGCGCTGGTCGGGAAGGTACTCGTCGGTGATCTGGCTGCTTTCTTTGCTCACGGCGATCACTCCGTCCCTGCGAGGGACCAGATGCAGAAAGAGAGAGCCACAGTGAGGACGGGGGACGGCAGCGAGTCGCTCATTGACCGGTGATCGGAATAAGGACAGCACGGAGGGGTTGGTGGGGGTGGGCTACCTCCTCCAGTCAGTGTAATAGAAGTGGTTCCCGTAGTAGACCATGCTGAACGGGTAGTTAAGGCTGGGGTGGACCACTCTCCGGCCCGAGCCGTCCGGGGACACGCACTCTAAACGCTTCGTGCCTGAGGGAAAGAAGAAGAGTGTGTGTGAGGTGTCAATTTAAGGAGCGGCGGTCCTGCTGATGGGGTGCTTACCTGCGTCGGCCCAGCACACCTGTCCAGAAGAAGAGTCGTACGTGAGGGCGTTGGGCAGACCGACGCCGTCGGTCACCACCACTCTGCGGTTCTGTCCGTCCACCGACGCGCTCTCGATCTTCGGAGCCTCTCGGTTCCAGTCCGTCCAGTACAGAGTGCTGCGGGGACACGGGCAGGACGGAGGGGTGAAAAGTTGTTTTGCACGGAGAGTGTTTTGGAAATAGTTGGGGCAATCTGGCTAATATAATGCGGGCAAGGTGAAAACACACACACACAGTCACACACAGTGAAGTGTGTGTATGTAAGGGGATACAAGGTGGTGCAGGACTTGGGGGAACATCTGCCTGATGCTGATGATGTCACGGTCAGGGTGCTCTTGAGCAACGTGCAACCTCCGACCCCGGCTCTCTCCCACTGCATTTTTCAGTCTGTGCACATCCAGAAATGCGGATCGCACCGGCTGAGTCACGCTCTTCCCTTTCTGCCTCACCGTTTTCCAGAATGTGACAAGTCAATATTTTATTGTTGGACAAAAACGGTGCTCAAGACGGAGTGTGTGTGTGTCTGAGCTGCGTAAGGCAGTGTGCTGCCTCTCGTCTGTAGATGATGGTGTGCATGCCGGCAGTCCGCTGGGGACCACAGGTAATACACACCACATGAGCAATAAACTCACACACACACACACACACAAATGTGTCTTTATGAGTCTGTACGTTAATTAGTTCTATGAAGGTCCGGGTGAGCAGGTGTTGACTCATACGTGCTTCTATAATGTGCATGTGCTTTCTTTCTGTGTGTGTGTGTGTGTGTGTGTGTGTGTGTGAGAAAGTGCAGGCTCAGAAAACACGGAGCACATGCTTAATCATAAGTGTAGCCGTGTGAAGCGGTGATTACCTTTTGGAATTGGCTTTTAGTCAGAACACACGCAAGTATGTAAACACACACACACTCACACAGGGACGTACTTGGCATTCAGTCAGAAAATAAACTTTTAATATGTCAAACCTTTAAAACCGACAATGTGCTGTTTAATGATTTGTGTTTCTGTTCCTATGTTTAATCATCTGTATCAACCATTAACACACAAACACACACACACCTGGTTATGTGATTTGTTGGAATGATGAAAAGCAGATGTTGCTGTAGAGCCGACCGCTCGCGGCCTCATTGCCTGTGTGTGTGTGTGTGTGTGTGTGTGTGTGTGTGAATGATGGTGTGGCACTTACAGAGAAAGCCCTAAATGTCCCTAACCCGACGTAGAATTACCAGAACATGTGTTACTAAAAGGACTCCACCCAGCTCCCATCTGTCATCCTGCCTCACGCTGACAAAGTCATGTTCAGCCACAAAAACCCTTTCCTACAGAATAGCTTGGACTCTAATCTGCGCTCTACTGGTGAGTTAGACGAAGGCTCCGATGACTCACAGCCTCTCTGAGGACCGTCTGTGGCTTCGTCACAGCGCGCTAAAGAGATAAAAAAGACCTGGTGGTCTTTACCCGGTGGAGGAGACCACTATGATGGCTCGGGGATTGACCAGGTCGGTGCTGAACAGCGTCCTCCTCCCGCTGCCGTCCAGGTTGGCGCTTTCGATCACGTCCGGGTTCGAGTCGACCCAGAACATCAACCTGCGTTTGGCATCCACTGCCAGACCCTCTGGACTGACCAGATCTACAAGGGAGACCAGGTTTGAAAACACAAACACACACACACACACTTCACAGAAATGAACGAGCCGCATCGTGTGTTCTTACTTGTGTTGATGAGTATTTCTGGCTCGGCACCAGCCGCCATTGAAGCCCTGTTGATGGTTCTGGCGGACAAGTCGGTCCAATAGACATGGTTCTCCTTGCAGTCGTGGGCTATGCCAACGACGATGGAGCCCTGGGCGCACACACACAATGAGATATGGGAACATATCTACAGCCACAGCAGTATTTACTTTTTGAGACTTCAACAAAGAAAGTTCATCTCTTACGTGCAGCGTCAGCAGTGTTTTGGACCGGGCTGCATCCAGTCTGGTCCCGTTGAGGGGCAGCGCTCCGATCTTCTGTCCCTGAGCGTACAACAGTGTGATGTCAGCGTTTGGTGGCGGGGTCACGTCCGGGCGGGGCAGCGGGCGCACGGTGGGCGGGGCCGCTGAGGGGAGGCCTGGGGCGAGATTGGTACGGGTAAAAAAATGACCCTTTTCAGCCGTGAGCGGCGGGACACCAAACGACACCATACCGGCACAGAGACACTTACACGCTGGCTTGACGATGTCGTAGGACCGGGTGCCGGGGACCTCCCGTCCGTCCTGGTCCACGCACCAGCAATAGGTGGTCTCTCCGTAGCACTGGACGGGACTAAGAGAAATTTGGCTTTCTTGAGTAAGCTGTCATTGAAAATGTATCTCAGCTACTGTTATTTATGTGTGTGTGTGTGTGTGTGTGTGTACCTGAACTGTCCATCCTGCTCGCACTGAGGCACATATTGTTCTGGCTGCGGTTTGCCGCCGTAGTGCTCAATCAAACTGGCTCTCCATCGCTCACACACGCTCTCGGGATGCTCGGTCGGAGCCACGGGCACTGAAGGGGGGCGAGGGAACACGAATGCAACACACCCAAAGCTGTCAACGCTGTTAAGTTCAGTTTAATATTACGGGTCGCGCACATACGATCCTGATCTCATGCCTGACTAATAGGCCACACGCACACACACACACACACACACACATCTTGCTTTCGTCAATATTGTTTACCTTGTTAAATCTCTTTAATAACTCTCTTTACAGGCGCACTCTAAAACTAAACCAGAAACCACTTTGGACTTCCACTAATATTTATTCTGGCCTCTTTCGCTCTCTGTGCGTTGCTGATGCTTTGGACTAAGAAGGAAATCATGGTAATATCTGAAAGGAGGGATGAGAAGAGAAAGAAAGAGGTTAAGAGAAAAGGGGGGTTAGCTAAACAAAGAAAGTGATGCCTCGTGAGTTTTTCCAGCAGTGCTTTACTGTATCGGCGGTCGGCGCGCTGCGGTCCAGTTTCATGAATCACTCAGTTTTTACTTCTATTTACGGTTCAACCACACAACCAACTGAGTTCAGTGATCCATGTGTCTCTGATGTCCTTGCCAGAAGTGGACAGGACATGGACTGTCTAAATCAAAGACAAATCAGTCCTCAGGCGGACTCACTGGGTTGGCAACGTCGTAGTGCGAGTTTGTACAAATTAAATAGGGTTACATCCGTAATCCAAGAGTACGGCCCTCTGCGTTCGCACTGAGAATTGTGAGTGAATGAAACTGAAGACGTTTTGCGTTTTCGTTCAGCTTGCTGTCTGTGCTTCATCCTTAGGGTGGAGGTAACACCGCTGCGTCACTCAGCTGCTCCAGGCTTGTTTTGCTTTGCGGTCGCCTGGCAACAGCCGGCTACTCACCTTACCACAAAGTGACCACTTCGGATGCACATAAATGGGATTCATAGCGAGAGGGGGCTTTATAGAACAGCCTCTGTGTGTGTGTGTGTGTGTGTGTGAGGGGGGGTGGGGGTTATGGACACAAATCCATATGAAAGTCAAGCAGCAGCAGCTGTCTCACCTGGTCTGTCACAGTCCACAGATGGTGTACCAGGTGGAGTCCTGGTTCCCCCTCTCTCCTGCCCCCTACCGTCCACGCACCAACAATATCCAGTGGAGCCGTGGCACTGAAGTACATAGAACAGTGCCATGCATACTAATGAGAAGAAGAGCAAACGCAAGAGAAACGCACACTCAGCACGCGGTATTACCTGTTGAGGTGTGTACTGTCCTCCTGCATCACACTGAGGCACGTAGGCTCCAATTAAGGGGTACCCCTCCGGACTGGTGGTCTGCACACTGTCTCTGTGGTGCTCACAGTGAGTTTTAGGACGCTCCGGTTCGTCTGAAACACATTTACGAGTTCACCAAAAGTTCCAAAGCAATAGACGAATTCTATCGAGATGCCGGTCGGGGCGATAAGCCTTAAAACCCTGTGAGTCAACATGTCAGCGAACATTTCCCATGGGGGTCTATCAGACCTCGACGCGCCTCTATGCTGACGGCGATTCACTAACCGTGCAAGCTGACCTCTGAAAGGTCTTTGATGGTATCATGACTTCTGCACAAACTGCAGTCTCAGTACAATCCCCTTCTTATCCCCCACATGTGGTCTGCACTGCCAAACTGCGCCTGGAGGCTTGTTCAAGCTCTCCTCATATCCTGTACTAGCCAGTGCAAACTTCTCTGGACGGGCTTTCCTCAAAACCCAAATGACTCTACAAAGCAGCAGACACGATGGTGTCCACCCTGGGAGTTCAGATGAGTGTCGGCTGGTGTCCCAGGTGAGCTGATAAATCGTGCGTGTACGAAAAGCTCAGAGAGCTGACACGCTGCCCCACCTGGTCTGTCGCAGTCTTTGGGTGGCGAACCGGGTGGAGTCCTGGTTCCCGCCCTCTCCTGTCCCGTGCTGTCCACACACCAGCAGTGTCCGGTGGAGCCGTGGCACTGGAGGAATTCACATCGAAATGTTTGCTTACGTGTCCCCACACAATACCGAGAGCTACACGATAATCGCAAACACAACTACTGGTCTGCCGCCAGATGCTGACCTGCAACGATGCGTACCGTCCGTTGTCATCGCACTGAGGCACGTAGGCTCCAACAATGGGGTACCCCTCTGGACTGGTGGTCTGCACACGGTCCCTGTGGTGCTCACAGTGAGTTTTGGGACGCTCCGGCTCGTCTGGAAGGACAAAAATAAACAACAGCAGGGGATCATAAGCAGTTTTCTAATTAATCTTAACTTTTTACCCAAGGCAGGTGGTCAAATATTAGAGGTGATTCATGTTTTCATTTTATTATATATATGTTATATTTCTAATACAGACCATTTTTATTTGCATAACTAACTATTATTTAAATATGTCAGTCCTTCATTTTAATGTTATTAGGAACAGCAAGTGCAGTCAAACATTAAACACACATGTCAATTAGTCCGATCAAATATACATATTTCAACACGTGATTATAATCCTTTTTTCATAATTATAGATTGGGCATTATAATTACTAATTTAGGTTATTTCTAAATGTGTGGAGAGCACTGTGTTTGTGTGAAGAGCTACAAATGTGCTTTTAAAGGGCACATTTTGGAATAACAAGTGGGGTTGTGTTTTTTTTCTTACTGACGACTCGTAATAGTAAAAAGGGTTTCAGGTCAAAAAATCCATTCAGCCGACACACATCTCACCTCTCAGCTTGTAGCTAATATAAGAAAAAAATAAAACGGTAGCAGTTACTTTTTTGCCGCAGATAGAAAAACAGAATGTTCTTGTTTCCCGGCTTCATCTCACCGTTTCCTCTCTGTTCAACTTCCCACCGCACACAGTGATACCACTTGTTTTTCCAAGACATTCCAAGGCTGTGACCCAATGACCTCGGTAGTGCACCACTTACAAGGTTAGACACACGCTCACATAAACCTGCTGTCTGTTTGACTTGTCATTGAGTTGAGGAATTAGGGGGTTGAAAGAGAAGGAGGCCTTGGGGAGCGCTGACATGATACACCTGCTCACGCTGGTTACTGCACAGGACGATCCACCGTGAGGCTGAATTGAGGGACAGAGTCCGTCTCTAGATGCAAGCTAGTCCTTCTCACCTGGTTTGTCACAGTCTGTCGGTGGCGCTCCAGGTGGAGTCCTGGTTCCTGTCCTCTCCTGTCCCCTGCTGTCCACACACCAGCAATGTCCAGTGGAGCCGTGACACTGAAATACGCACATTTTTATTAATCAAGCTGAATTAAATCTTCTTTTTTTTTAAATCGGTTCATCCGTCTCACAATGAGCCCACCTGCAGAGGTGTGTACTGTCCTCCTGCATCACACTGAGGCACGTAGGCCCCGACAACAGGGTACCCCTCTGGACTGCTGGTCTGCACACGGTCTCTGTGGTGCTCACAGTGAGTTTTAGGACGTTCCGGCTCATCTGAGGAGAACAGCGTCACATCCGTTCACACGACAAATCTTAAACCGATAGAACCCTCCGGCCACAAATACATGGTAATACAAGTTGGTTCTGTTTGGATTGATCCGATTGGGTTCAAATTGGTGTGTTAACTGAGCTAACCAGCACCCATAAGCCAGCCCAAATCTCACCTGATCTGTCGCAGTCTTTGGGTGGTGTACCGGGTGGAGTCCTGGTTCCCGCTTTCTCCTGCCCCCTCACGTCAACACACCAGCAATGTCCAGTAGAGCCGTGACACTGGAATAACATAATAGGTCCGTAAAGAATTTAAGTATTTCAAGTTTGGAAATTGAAGTTAAAACGCTGATTTGGAAAGAATATTTTTATGTACTAAGCCGATTGTGAACACGTACTTGTAACGATCTGTACTGTCCGCTGGCATCACACTGAGGCACGTAGGCTCCGACTATAGGGAACCCCTCCCTGTCAGTGGTCTGCACTCCGTCTCTGTGGTGCTCACAGGAGGTTCTAGGACGCTCTGATTCATCTGCGAAGAAAACATTTAAAAGAATTTGCGGTTGTATGATCGTTTTTCACAAACCTTTCAAGCCGATCCGTCCTACATCTTAAATAAGCCTCAAGGTTCATTTGTTTATTCAATAACAAGCATTCAAAAAGAGTAACTTGGCACCCGGGCACTTTCTAAGGCTATGCTTGGTTTGGAAGTTACGTTTTCTCCTCCTCCTCCTCCTCCTCCTCCTCCTCTACCCCCTCCTGAATTCGCTGCACACCAGGATGGTTTCATCCGCATATGAGAGCATTTCTTTGTATTCAAGGGCACCATGCACCACGGCGGATCAATTTGTAGATCAGCAGACCCCAAATTCATAACAGAAAGTCTGCATTACATGATACTCAAATGGAGTATGAAAGACATGAGAGAAGGCTACTGAATGTTGCATTATGGGATATGAAGGGTCCAGTGTTTTGGGACATTTTTCAACCTCTCAAGTCCCCTAACTTCATGTACTCGCCAGTAAGAAAAACAATATTCATCTCTTTGTGTAGGACAATCAAATGAATGTCATTGCAGGAGCCGGATGAACGTTCCTCACCTGGTTTGCTGCAGTCTGTCCGCGTCGCACCAGCTGGTGTTCTGGTTCCGTCTCTCTCCTGTCCGTTACCGTCCACACACCAACAATGCCCAGTGGAGTCGTGACACTGCAGAAAATAACACCAACAGAAACATCAAAAACGTACTATATTCATTAGTGTGAAACAAAAGTGACGTATTTTAGGTCGTAGGCCATAAGGAGTTGTTTTAGATACTTGTTTGTGACGAACCTGTGAGGGTATGTACCGCCCGTTGTGATCGCACTGAGGCACGTAGGCTCCAACTATGGGGTACCCCTCTGAACTGGTGGTCTGCACACTGTCTCTGTGGTGCTCACAGTGAGTTTTGGGACGCTCCGGCTCATCTGGAGGGACGAAGATGAACAGAGCAGAAGAGATCTGTTATGCACTAATGTTACTTTGGCAGAAATATCTAATAATGTCACAGAATTGCCTTTGATAAACTATAGGTGTGTCTCGCCTGGTCTGTCGCAGTCTTTGGGTGGTGTACCGGGCGGAGTTCTGGTTCCCGCTCTCTCCTGCCCCCTCACGTCCACACACCAGCAATGTCCGGTGGAGCCGTGGCACTGAAAGAAATGATCCGAGGTCAGCACGCCGCTCGTGTTATCAGCCGGCCGCGTGCTTTACTGCCTTCCTCGTCACCTGCAGCGGTCGGTATCGTCCGTCAGAGTCGCACTGAGGGACAAAGGCTGCGAGACTTGGTCGACTGCCGTGTTCCCGCCCGCCCTGCAGGCTGTCTCTGTGCTGTTCACACTGACTTTTTGGACGAACTGTCACTTCTGTGGAGACAAATTATATATACACACTTATTACTATAGTTCAATTTATTTCCTCTCACCTCTTTGTAGTTGGTTTGCATTCTATATGTATAATTCATCGTTGATCAAATTAAGTTATTTCCACATAAATATTCAGATATTTTATGAAACAAAGTGTAATTTATACGTTTCTATACAATATTTTAAATGAGAAACAGATCCAAACTGATGGGGAAAGCTCAGAGAATACGTGATGAAAGTGAATTGATCAAATTGAACCGTAATAAAAGTCACTGGAGTTACAGACGATGATCCATATAATTACAGTTGCATTTTCACTGACCTTCCTGCTGGGAACAGTGGAAACCATCACCGTAGAAGCCAGGCTCGCACTGACACTGGAAGGAACCCAGCGCATTGATACATCTGGCACTGATGTGACACGGAGAGGAGCTGCACTCATCTATGTCTAAGGAAAACATACCACAAGCACAACAACCAACATATTGGAACATTGGTAATAAAAATAAATTTGGCACCACAATTCAATACCGCTCCACAGCGAGAAATAATTCAGCCCAGCGGTAAATTATTGGGACTTGGATCTATTCCAGGACCTTATGTAAAGTATCCGTCAAGCAGGGAGGTAGGGAGGGTTTGAAGGAAGTTCATCAAAAGTTCACACTGATGGTTGAAAGGAGGACACACACACACACACACACACGTCTCTCCTCCGCACATTCCCAAACACATTGTGTTATTGGTCCATTTGTCTCTCACATTCAGCCCCCTCTCCCGTCTTAACTCACAGTCTCTTTCTCACATTAGTCCTCTCATTCCCACCCCTGCTCTCCCATTTGTCGCCCATCTCCCAGCCCCCCCGCTGTGCTCCCTCGCTTTTGCAGCTGTGCGCTGCTGATCATGTTGTGCCTGCGCTGGGACAAAAATGTGGATCCCTTCCAAATGCCGGGCTCGTTTGGGAAAAGGCAACGCCCCAAAACATCTTCTCTGTGACCAACGAACGATCAACATGGGAGGGTGAAGTTGTTGTTTGCAGAGGGTTCCTCTCGTTTGAACGCGAAGAGCATCACATTCATGCCAGTTAGAGTCCGTGCAGGAGGACGTATCGTTTAGTGGTTCTAACTACTAAGAGCTTATTGGTAGTTCTAGGGAATAATTAGGCGTTAAAACTATTTTAGCACACACAAAAACACAGGTGAGCCGGCCCACCGAACTAATTAAACTAATTAAATCAACTTTCAATCAATTCAATCACGAAAAACATTGATATTTTTAACGTTAAAAAGGGAGAAAGTCTTATATTTACTTTTGCAATAGTCAATAAACAAACAAAGTTCCCGAAAATTCACTAAAATTCTATTTTTTTCAAATAATCAATAACTGCAGCTCTGGCCTGTTTTACTGCTAATGAAGTTAACTTTAATTAATCTGTAAAAGTGACTATGTGTTCCCCACTTTAAGATGTATACAACCCACATCACACACAAATTTGCATCGAGGGGCTTATTGCAACTCACCAACGCAGGAACGCCGGTCGAAGCCAAACTCAAAGCCCCCCTGGCACTGGCAGCTGTGGCTACCGGGCAGGTTCACGCACTGAGCATGAGCGCCGCATGAGCTCGAGCCCTCAGCACACTCGTCTACGTCTGCAGCAAGACAGAGGGAGAGAAAGGGAGACGGCTGAGCTGTGAACTCGCGGGGAATCCCAATCAAACCACCATTTATTGTGTGTGTGAGAAGGCCATAAACAGGGGTCATTACTGGTGCTGTTGTGTTACTATACCATGTTCCCCCCCACACCTGGACTGTTGGCTTAAGGGTGTTGTGCAATAAACAAGACAACACCACACACTGCTTATGTGAGCAGAGGGAGACTTTGGGGCCTAATTACAGGAACTAAGCGGGAGAAGAAAAAAAAGTAGAGTAGAAGAGTGTAGAAGAGACGAAGGACCCGGCCGGATGTACAGCTGCAAATGAATCACAGGCGCTCTGCCTTGAACCGCCTCCGACTCGGCCCGCGTGTGTTTCGACTCGCTGTTTGCACATCCGTAACGCAGCGCCAACGGTTACCGTAACAGTTGCGTCCGTCCCCTCTGTATCCCGTGGCGCACTGGCACAGAAAGTCCTGGCCCTGCTGCGGGAGGCACTGGGCCGTGGTGTCACAGTCGTGGTTCCCGGCGTAGCAGGGGTTGACCAGCTCCGGCTCCGTCGGCTCGGCTGCACAGAGGAGGACACGCGGATCGCATTCAGCGATTGACTAATAGATGCTATACAGCATCTGGTATCAGTAGCAGAATCTGTAGTTTTCATTTAGAGTCGATGAAAATCGAAATACGTTAAAAATGCTGTAGAATCTAACATCCAACTAAATTAGAAAAGGAAGTCGTTTTTAGAATTGATAGTATGGTTTATCAAGTACAGAGCAAAAGTAACGAGACGTCTGTTCAGGCTTACTTCCATCTAAAAAGCACACAAAAAGAAGATTTAGATGATTGACGTCTGGATTATTCTACAGCAAAAGTCCTGTGAATGCAGCAAACGTCTCTCATGGGACGGTTTCCTCTTAGGAAGTTGTGTTCTCAATATTGGACACATGGAGGATGTTAAGACGCACATACACTTGAGAGAGACACAAACACACACAGACAGACAAACAGAGGGTGAGCGGGGTGCATTCAGGGTTTCTTCACACCGAAGCAAGAGACAATTTAAACAGCAACCCTCCAGATTCATGTCTGGAAATGCAGGCAGGGAAAACGGCACAAAAAAACAAAGAATGCGACGTACTAAATATGCAGTTGTATTAAAAAAAGGAATAATGAACTTCTGAGGAATTACTTTTTTGACCAAACATGGCAGCTGCAGTATGTTTTAGTGGCATGTTTTGGGGGAAATGCCATCATATGTTTCTGTCTGGTTGGTCGTTATATGCACTCAGTTATCTTCAGGAACCGGAAAAGCAAACCACCTAAAAGACTAATATCTCTTTTAATGATGTTTAAGTGCTTTCGGATGGACTGTTTCTTTACCATCGGGGACATATAAACAACAACACACACACACACACACACACACACACACACCTACACCTCAACTAAATCAGACACACAGACGTTAGCCACAGCTTGATTCCATCTCCTGTTCCCAGAGGCCAATTCTGCCTCATTATCAGAGAGTGAGAGACAGGGAGAGAGAGAGAGGGAGAGAGAGAGGAACTCTTCAAAGTCCTGCATGTGCAGATGAGAGGGCAAAATCCACATGGATGGGGAAAGAAGCGGAGGCTTAATTAGAGAGAAAGAGAGAGAGAGAGAGAAAGGACAAGCGGGAGAGAACACACAACGCATGCATCACACACCATCAAAGCCCTGCCTGCCAGTTTCCCACCTGTTGCTATTTAACGCTGGCAGTCGGCGAGGACGTAGATCACTAAAATAGATCGCTAAAACATATTGGTTGTGTGAATCCAACATGACGACACTATTTGTCGATCTCGGTGGGCGTTCACTGAGAGAAGGGGACACAGTCTGATTCCATGAAGTGCAAGTAAAGTCTTTTTTATCAAGTTTGAACTAAAACTAATTCCAGAGAAGGCAGAGTCATACTGCATGACAGCTGTCCACCAAGACAACGCTACTCAGGTCGTGTTGATCTGCTCTCTCTCTCAGCTCAGTGTCAGAAGTTTGTCTACAATCTCAGATTCTCATGACATCAGTGGGCAGCTATTCTGCACGGCGACCCCCCCTGTAGAAAATCTGTCATTGGCTGGGATATTGTTTCTCTCTATCTCTCTCCCTGTCTCTCTCTCGCACCGTTTCTCTCTCTCTCTCCCACACACACACACACACACACCACTTAACCCATGTTTACAAAACCCCTGATCCCCAAAAGCCCTTCCAGCTGTGCTCTGGATGTATCCGTGCTCGTGCATGTGAGGGATGTGTCATCATAACCTTTTTAATCAACGTGTTGACGTCCAAATGACAGAAACTTGGCCCGGATACAAAAACCCGTGGGAAAAAAAAAGAAAAAATCTCTCCCCCAGTCTCCTTCCCTTTCATCCCCATCATCGTCTCTGTCTGCTTTTCATCAGGCAGGGTAGGATAAGAAAGAAAGTGTGTTGATAGGAATGGGACACGTGTTTTATTTTTATCATCTTTTAACTTAGACCACTAGTAAACAGTCCTGTTAATAATTGTTAAGATATATTCATAATTCAACATGATAAATGTGATCGGCTCCTGCATACTTCTGGGAGCACTGAGTGTATTCAGTTGCTTATGAGATTTAAATTATTGCGACCATTCAAACGCCGCAGAGCCAAACAAATGTGGTTTAAAAGAGAAAGTTTAGTGCTTTTGGTTTTGTGTTCGGGAACCAGAAAGTACATTCAGAAGCCAAATCCCACAATGAGGTGGACATTCTTCTTCATTCCTCATGCTACGATCTCACTTGATTCAGCTGAGTCAGTGCTCAACCGGGGCTATTGGCGGAACCTCGGACTGCGTCCCGAGTCAGCTGGGACGCAGTCCGAGGTTCCAGCGATCCTCAGATTGTTGCCTTAAGTGCACAATGTTTCGGCTTATAATCATCCCTCGACTCGCAGCCTGTGTGTTTTTCTAAAGCCGAGCTCTGTTTGACTCGGCAGCGCGGTTTGGCTGAGATTCCGATTGCAGGGGGTCTGGTCGTAACAAGAAAACCTCATGTTTGACGCCTGAGTGTGTTCACCCACTTAAATGTAGACAGTTGTGGTCTGGACAGGATTCAAGCCGTCACTTAGATACTCGCCTCCCATGGAAGGAGTCAATGTTATCAGCGGAGTTATCCACGTGTTGATTGGATGGATGGGCACACACACACACACACACACACACATCCTGTGGCGTTTTTCTAATTAGTTTAAAATGTACTCTCCTGAGGGTGGAGAGCCTCTAAAATGGGTTAGAACCCAATTCTGAAAATTTAAACCGTCTCTACTGGGTGCAGCACAGCTCTTCTTGCTCTTTTTTTGTATGTTTTTATTAGCACCTCATAGCACTTGATCTGGAACCACTTTGGTTGAGATGCAGAAGATTGGTCAAGAGAGACCAGAGAGAGACGCTGGACCACCAAAGCAAAATCCCTCTTTTTAAATAGCCACGCTACCCTGGATGGCGACACTTGACACCAATTGTTTTTTTAAATGTCAGCCCGCCAAACTTCTTCTGCTTGGTCGCAGACCAAAGGATTCATCGAGTCGCCCTTAGTATTAGAAGAGGAGAAAGAGCAATAGTTGTCTGTAATTCATTAAACTAAATCCCAGCCTGCAGGATTAACTTTGATGTTTCCATCTGATCCCCGGCTGGACTCACCTCCGACTGGGCTGATCTTGTTGGTGATGGCGTATCTCAGGATCCGCTCCTCCTTGACGTACATCACAAACACCCTCTCCATGGTGATCTGCAGTGTCTCTGGGACGCCGGCGCGGTTGTCGTGCCGACAGTCGCGGTAGGTGATGTTCTGCTTCAGCTGGAAAGAGAAGGACTCGGAGCCCCGCTCGGCCGACACCACCGAGAACTCCCTCACGGAGTAAGAGGTGGCAACTGGGCAAAGAGAAAAAAAAAGGCATAAAAGGTTTTCAGGCACATGGAGGCATCAGCTGTTGCACAGAATTGGCTTCTCTCAGTTGTCACGGTTACCGGATGGGTAGTACTGGTAGATCTCCTTGAAGGGATCCATGGTAACTTCGGACCCAGAGGGCAGGAAGGGCACGCTACCACTGACTACAGTATCCACGTTGAGGTGGTTGTGGTTGTCAATGCCGTGACCCGTCTGGACGATTGACAGGCGCTGGTTGCCGGGGTAGAATATCGCCTCCGCGTGACGAGTGAACTCGGCACCTGGCGACAAAATAAAATCGATCAACTGATAAATTTCCTCTGTTTGCCCGTTTGTAGATGATCTCCGATGCACATTGCTGCGGTCGTACATCATGCAATGATGGGATTTCTGCATTGGCCGTGTCTGTACACACAAACACACACAGCTGTTTCCTATTAGAGGGGAGGGCGAAACCTGATACTACATCACATCCCTGACGACGATTCAGCGGGCCGGGAGACGGAAAACAAACACACACACAGCAGAGGAGGTTCCTCGTCGCTCGATGTGCTCAAGGGTGGAGAAGACATAATTTGACTGAAACACAGCGCATACCTGTGATTTTGAATCCTGCTTGGCTATTGGGCAGCTCCAGAGCAAAGAGCCATCCAAACAGCTCTCCTATTGGTGCGAGTGGCATCAGAGCCCAGCCCACTGGCTCGGGTACCTGACCCATTAACACAAAGGTTAAGAAAAGGGGGAAGCATTCATATTTTCATATAAATGGGATGTATTTGCGGGGCTCCCACCTCGCTGATGGCAGTGTACGCTCTGCCGTCGCCCACCACGATGTAGGCGTGGAGATCGATGTTGTTCAACTCCACCGGAGTCGAACCCACGGTCACTGTTCCGTTCACCTTGCCGCTCACTCGCTGCGGAGCACCTGGAGGAGGGACACCGTGGTTACAGCCTGCATTTCAATATGAGATAAAGGCATCTCTGCGGGTCAATGGTAGCGCTCTGACCCTCGGGTAGACAGTGGCGCCCGTTGCCATAGAAGCCAGGCCGGCAGTGACAGCAGAACCCTGTGGCGTAGTCGGAGCAAAATGCATTCTGGGAGCACTCCTGTTGGAATCTGGAACTCCAAGAGAGAGAAAAATACACGTTCAATTATTAAATTACCAAAAGGATTGATGCAGCAAAACCAGAGATGTCGTCTTTTTTTATTAAACACGTTCCTCTTCTTTGTCAAAACCCTGCGCCTACACTACCCACAATGCAATCCGAACACTGTCAGCTCAACAACCACTACAAATAGTTGGACACACTGTACATAATGCTTGCGTCACATACCTGGCACACGTTTCCTTATTCTCCGTAGTGTACTGAATCACTGAGAGAGAGAAAGAGAAAATAAGTTATTATGCGTAACATATGCAAGACTTAAATATAATCAATGCCCTGCAGAAAAAGCTTTACATGCAGACCACCAGGCCTGTTGTTTGGTCCGCTCAAACACTGAATATATTTATTTTGTTTTCAGTATTTACGTCATACACAAATGAATAAATGGAGATGGAACAATAAACCGTGTTTCCATATTAGTACAGATGGTCAGGGCCAATAAGTGACAGAGGAAGACACACACAGGGAAACACATGTCGAGGTACTACTTGGAGAGAAACCAGCTGTTATAGTCCTGTCTCCACAAATCAACTCACACACACACACACTACTTTCTTCCGATTGTCTGGGTAACACTGAAATGTCCCCGCTGGGACTTTTAAAAACATCAACATTTTGACCTGCTTCCTGCCTGTCTGGGCGACGAGTATTTCCAAAACGCTTTTATTGTTTTAAGAAAACGGAGTGTGGATGCAGCTCAAAATACATACAAGCAACGTATATTCCAGTATTTCTTCTATGTGTTTGCATGTGCTGCTCCAAAATCAGAGAAAAAAAAGCTCAGCTTGACATACAGGAAACGAGGCGCTTGTCCTGGATTTATTTCAAATAAACAAAAAAATAACTTGATTATCATTAATGCTGAGAAGACATAAAGTAAGAATTAAGGCAACATTTCACTGAATCGCTGAGTGGATTTTACCATCTTTCTCTCCTTGTTTATCTCTCTACTTGTCTTTTTCAAATGGGCTGACTGGGGATTGAAACGCAGCATTCTATCATCCTACTGGGGCGTCACAAACAAACGCACATTCACATGCACACAGGATGTCGGGATATTTTCTCAAGAACCGCCCGCACGCACACGCACACACACACACACACACACAGCGTAAACACAGAAACAGAAACCACATACCAATAATCGTGATGATTTTTTTGCTCCCTCTGTGTTTTGTGAAATTCAAACCCGTGACATCACTGAGAAGATGTTGGAGTATGTGTGTGGATTGATTTTTTTTCTCATGTTTTGACATTTTGTAAATGTCACGCGACCATTAGACTGCATATGTAAGCACATGTCAGTCATATCACAGTCTTGGCTGGTTTATTAAGACTTGAAATTCCTGAAAACTAGTAGTGATTGAGGGAGTAAACACAATTTGTCATACATATTAACTGCTTTAATACTAAATTAGAGATGGACCTTTTTTCCAAAACCTGCTTACAGATATTAGTATTTAATTTCTCCAAACTGAGTTAAATGAGAAAAAGATGTGCTTTTCCACCCTTATGTAACCAGGCAAGTTGACTGAGAACACATTCTTGTTTACGGCAAGAGCCTGTGCGAGGGACACACACACACACACACACACACACACACACACACACACACCTGGGAGCTACCCAGTACAACGGCAGTATTGTACTGCCAGCTGCTGAGCCGCACCGCGTGCAGACGGCGAGGTAATGCAAACCCCCCTGAATCTCAAAGTATCTGTCCTTTCATAACTTAAGCGGACAACGGACAGCGGACAACTGCATGCATGCACATATATATATATATATATATATATATATATTCATAATCATACAGATTTATCTCATACCTCCAGTGTCAAAAATCCACATCATCCCTCGTCCACGTTGACCCACGTGACCCCCGGGGGAGAAACGTCGTTCGTTCCTGTGAGGGAGGGGAAACATCTACCGGCTCCGGAGGAACCTACATGGGGAAACAGGCTATGTTTAACTGAAATTACGTTTTTCCTGTTGTCAACTCTCCAGATGCCACAAACCAGACCGCTATAATCAGCGCATACTTTACATTTCGTATTCAGTATGGTATAATGACTGCAGTTTTCGCCAGCATTTTGTTGACACCACCAACGTGTCTCCAAAAGAGCGTTCCACCATAACCACAGAATGTATAAACGACCACAATTTTAAATTGACATTGCAGAACTTTAAGCACAGCTAATTCTTTTTATTTTTATAACCGCTACAATAAGTATATATTTTCTAAGAATTTCAATACTTTGCCACTAAGTGATGCGCATGAGAAATATCAGGAACTCTCGAGCCGTGAGACATATTTATGGTCAATTGGCAATATGTCTGTAGTGTTGGTGTTTTTTGTACAAAACATGAATGTAAAAACCTTCAGTCTATCTTAAAATGGAGGTCACTAGGATTTGCTGGTGAAACACGATAAGTCATTTCTATGCAGAGCTGGTTTTGTGTTACCTGTGGTTGCTGTTGAGCACCTCCCACTGGTGCCCTTTCTGGAGAATTAGGGGGAGCATACTGCCTCTCTCCTGGCTCCGAGTTGTACTTGGGTTCAGAGGTCAATGGTACATTTCCGATGTCGTACACCGCCTGACGGCTGGGCTCCTCCGAAGGGGATGAGGGAGCATCGGGACTCGCTGAGTGGTCTCCAGTAGGGCCCGTCTGGAACTCGGGGTCCCCGTCTGTCAGAAGGTAATCGTCTTCTTCCTCCTGGTTATCAGTGCCAAAGGTGTTGTCTGGGTTGTCCTCAATCTCCTCATACTCGGCTGTGGTGGTGTCCTAGAAGAAGAAACCGGAGAGGGGTCAGCGGAGTTCTTCCTGCAAACAACTGCTGACAGTAGAGAAGAAAAAAACACTAGATTACCAGGGAGAGGCCTCCAGCTGGTGGGGTATCTAGGAGGCCGCTAAAGGAAGCAGGAACAATGTTGTCGAAGTAGTAACTGTTTCCAGTGTGGAAAAGCCAAACACCTGGAATCCCTGTGTTTCCGACCCTAGAGAGCGTGTGACAAGAATTGTTTTCAGGTTCAAACAATTAGCTGTGAGATTAGTGAGTGAGTTTGAAGTTTTCTGTTCCAGTCACAACAACATCTTATTTTGGACAGTGTCAGTTTGTCAACACTTTTAGCTAACTCTCTAGTTAGCTAAACTCTCACTATTAGCACTATATAAGGCAAAGAACTGTATTCATTCATAGAAAGCATTATGGGTGTGTCGTTCGTTAGCGGCAGCAGCTAACAGCTGCATTGCTTGAGGCTGCTAGCTAGCTAGTAATCAGCTACCAATTAGCTACTGTAAGATGCTTCTTTGTAGTATAGTTAGCTTTCCTTTCTAGCTACAATGTACAGTGTTCTATAATGCGGTTCAAAGAGTTAAACACCGCTCTCTGTGTATATAATTAACCTCCATTTTAGAAAAGTAATCATCTAATAATAAAAGGAACTTATTCTAACACAAGAACAGTGTTTATCAGGTATTTATTGTTATGTATTTCGGGCTATGTGGCAGCCGCCACTTGCGCACAGCTGGTAGAGACATTAACTGCTGCATTTACGTGTTTTGTACAGTCAGTTTGTCAGCTAGCAGACCGTCCTATCATAACTTTCCTGTTAATTAACTCTCCCAAGAGCACTCAACCAAAGTAACGTGACGTTATCTGCTCACAGGTTACAGGTTAACGGCTATCGGCTAACAGCTAATGGACACCAGCTGCTTTGTGTGAACAGCTTCGCACCTGGTTAAGAATAAGCCAATTACTGTAACTGAGCTTTCATAGAACATTTACCGTGTCACCATAAATCTAACTTTTACATGTTTGTTTCGTTTGTTTGTCTTTGCCACTGTTGGCACATAACGTTAGCTAGTTATCAGATTAATTTAAATGTTTACCAAATGTGGCTTTCAGAAGCATTGTGGCTGCAACCTTGAGGCTTTTTACTTACTGGTAGAGGTTTTTAACGCTCTGCTCATTGCTGGTAACGCTGTAGTGAGGTCCCTCGATTCGGGAGAAGATCAGATATGGGATTTCTCCTCTGCTAAAGCCAACTCTAGCAGGAAGCTCAATCTCAACATTATAAGACTCCTAGAAGCAGAACATTGCATCACATGACATTAATACAATGTACATGTAACTGTAACAATTACTAATTACAGTACCAAATGTAATCAAGCTGTGACTCAAAGTTTGCTTATGACCAGTTTACCTTCGGACGTGTCCCAAAGAAGTTAAGGCCACCTTCAGGGTAGAGGAAGATAACGTAGGAATCAGTCTCATCGTAACCAATTACTGCCTGGAACGTATTGACCTGAGGAGGAGAGAGACCATCGGTCTGAACCAAAATAACAACACGGACAAAAAGTGCAGTAAACTTACTGTAGTTCAAACATGGATTTATTTTAAAAAGCAGAGGAAAGAAAGAAAATACTCTTTCTTTCTTGAACCACTATCCTGTATTTACCACTTACTGCCGACAGTAGCCGCCATTGCAATCTTAATTCAATCTTTAATTATTTAGTATTGGTAAATTCAGTCAGGAAGACTGACGCTGTCTATGGGTCTACGCCGTAACCGCTTCCGTAAACCGATCGCGTCAGTGCTGTTTAACTTTAAAAGCTGTTCTCCTCTCTGTTGCTGTCAGTTGTCATTTCAGCAAGCACCAGATGCAACCCTCCGCCCCCCTGACCTCCAATCAGCAGGGGAATCTGGTATATCGAAAGAATGGAGCAACTTATTCTCTACCGCCGCCACCGCCGCCACATCCTCGGACCGCCTCAATCCTCCCCTCCCCTGCCCTCCACCCGTGTCTCCTCCTCTTCGTCAGCTGGAATTCACTTTGGGACTTCTCACCCTTCACACAAACCTCTCCCTCCTCCTTTTGACCACAGCCAGTTAGTGACATACTGACGATGTGGGTTTCCAAACATCAAATCTTGCCAAAAATTAGGATCAAATAAATTGAGTGAGTACAAACTGATGCATCCGATAACAGTGGAGTTGAGGAGCTTCTTTCATACGCGTTAGTGGTGGCGTCACAAAACCATAGTTGGAAAAGCACAGATTTGTTGAATGACGGGAAGACCGCTGAGTGTTGTTTCCCCTTGGGACACAATCAGATAATCGGTACGCACACACACACACACACACACACACACACACACACACACACACACGCACGCCTCTGTCTCTCAACCCCCAGCCCAGATGTTGATCTCCACAGCTGTCTTCCTGTGTGTCTGGGCATCTTTCGCGATGATGTTACAACATGCAAACCAGACATTGTTATAATGTGAGGCCTGGGTGTGCACACACACACACACAAACAACATACATGTTTATACAAGTCTGAACGCAAACACAGATGTCCCACCACCTATATCCCTCCCATGTCCACATATGTGTGTGTGTTCCTAATTGTTTACACCAACATCTTTAAACTATCTTGTTTGTGGGCGGGGAGGACTTTGTAGCCTCCGGGCTCATTCTAATTACTAAGGGGGGGGGTGGAGGGGTCTTTCTGTCCTGTTTTTTTCGCCCCTGTCTTTGGGAGGAGAAGAGGCCTGAGCTACGAAGAGGGGATCTGCTTCTTCTTTGTCCTTAATATCCTTTCTACATGTCTGTATTTTATCTCTCCTGCCCTCCTCCCTCCATTTTCCTGGCAGGAGGAGGAAGGGGGTTTGGGGTGAGGGATGAAAGGTCGCACCGAGGTTCAGCAGAGATGGGAGAAGGCTCATAGCTCTGCTTTACAGTGGGGAGGAACATGGGGGAGCAATAAATTATTATGGCGTTTCATCTAACTAGTTCTGAAAAGTTGAGTCACATTAAGGAATATTTATCTTCCTCTCCATCTGCACATTTAGGGTTTGTTAGTAGATTTATTGGTACACAGGTCCACACACAACAGGAGCTCCTTTGGCTGCATATCATACTAATCTCAACAACTCAATTACAACTCAATTACATAAATTGCCATTCAAGATCCCCAGAGGATGGACCCTGTTGTCTTTGGTAATCCCCTTTTCCTTGAGAGCCTTTGCTCTCAAAAAAACAAGTTTTTGAGAATTATCTTATATAACCGTTGCAAAAGATGTGTTTAAATATATTTGTATATGTTGTGGAGAAGGCTAGACAGGACATCTACGGCCGATACGGGTAAGAGCATAATGTCTTTTTGGATGATGGGCCGAGCTGTCCCTGTAATATATAGCGTACGGACGTGGGAGCGTTATCGATGCTCTCATCTTACTCTTGGCAGAGGAACAATATACAAGCATTTCCCTCCAAGATCCCCCGACTGTAACTTGCTCCCTGCTCTGCCTGTGTGGTCATTCCCTGCGCCGGAGTCATCTCTGCGCTGTAACGTCTTCCCGGTGTGCTTTATAGGCTCACAGCTGGAAGACAACAAAGAGCAGGCTACAACACATCAAAGTCCTCCAGACAGAGCGTAGGCAAGGATGCATGCACGCCTCCCCTCCTCCTCCCCCGCGACACAAGCATTCTGTTACACCTCTTTTAAAAGGGTGTCCTCACACTCCTCACATTGACCAGACACACGCACAGGCGTTAATTGTCTCCGGGGACGCAACAAATGTTAGTTGTCGGGGTCGTCCCTGAAGGTTTCGGTGGTGACATCATTGGTGAGCAAGGTTTGTCCAGACTGCGTAAATAAGCAAAAGCTTGAATGCACACGCAAGTAGAAGCAGCTTAACGCAATTCATTCATTCATACTCATACAGAGTCAATTTTCCCTTCGATCGTTTCATCTACAGAGCAGAATAATGTATCACAATCCTGTAAAGTGGGGATAGGAATATTCTCGGGTTTTGCATGGCGGCTACATTACACATCAGCCATAGAAGGGATGATCATGCATTATTTAATCATACCGTACAGAATTAAGATGTTAAAAACCTACTAATGTGAATTTATAGAGGGGAGTGTTTAAACATATTAATTAACAAATATTAATTTACCATATACTGTATTGCTTGCCCAAAGTTAACAGGTTTAGATAACAAGTAACTTCACTAACTTGTAGACAAGCGCTTTTGTATCCGATGGCTGACTGGAAATCTGCGTAAAACCCCAGAACATCCCCAAATACAAGACGTCTTTCTCTGACACCAAGACAAAGTCTAAACTGCGGATTTAAGCGGACAATATGCAAATGAAGAACAAGCGGGCAAACCTCTTAAGTTGACCCTCAGTCTGGTCTCCCCATGTTTTTACCTTTCTGTCTGGTTCACTCTGTCTTTGAGTACTTTTTGTCCACTTCGCTAAACTGCCGTTGACTCATTTAAGTGACTCATCCCGCTGTGACAAATGTTCTGTATCATGTTCTAATTATCCGGAGCACTTCGGTGAGGATGGACAAACGCACCGCACTCGTTGGTTGGTTGTCAGTTCTTTTACTTTTTTCTAGTCGGTCACGGCGCAGCTGCACACCAATAAAGAGAGAGAGAGACACAGAGAGAGAGAGAGAGAGAGAGAGAGAGCAGCTGCAGGCCAGTTGCCAACCTCACCAGAATGCTACAAGCGGAACTACCTACAGCGTGGGAACCGGCACTCACACACACCACACACACGCACACACACACACACACACACACACCAGGTCCAGTCACTGTTGTCATATGTTGTCACCCCCCGTTTAAGCTTGAAGGAAATCGAACAACGGTGGCGGCTTAAGGAGGCTTTTCAAAAACCTTTTTCATCAGCTGAAGAACAAAAAAAAAAACGCCGCTGCTTTTCTTGGGATCCTGACAGTGAACATACACACTACACACCACAGCACCACGTCCGGGATGGTAATTAGTCCAAGTCGCACTCATGCTGCTCAGCTTCTTTCTGAATAAACAGTGTAAGGGGAGAAGGCTTTGAACAACAGCGAGCATGTTTAAAGGAAACGCCCCCTCGTGTCACTGCATGGGGGACCCCCCCCTCCGACAAAACAATAAATAACCAGAGGAAAAACAATACTTCCTATTGTGCCACAGAACGGAAGAAAGACAGAGAGAGAGAAGTAAAGAAAGCAAAATAAAAAAGCGAGGGCCGAATCCAGCAGAGGAGTCCATTTATTCATTCAGCGTTTCCCATCTACGTGTATTCAAAGAGAACGCCTAAAAAAGAAAAGGGTCCGCTGTGGTGAAATGTTACAATCCCATTCCATTTGAGAGTGCTACTCATATGACATGCACACACACACACACACACACACAGTTTCTGTGTAGCGTGTCATCTGCTGGCACTGTTTCCCTTAACGCACATGGTTCCATTCAGCTGCCAGAGTCACATAAACAGGCTAACACGTTCAAAGTGACATTAATAGCATTGACGTTGTTAAGCGGGGGTAAATAAGTACAGTAATGAGTTAGTGAGTAGAATGGACATTCCGATTCAAATCATCGTAGCGTCACGATCAGAGGTCCGTTGTGAAATGCAGGAAAATGAGCCCAACACAAGCTTCTGCGCCGATCTCTGCCGCGTGGAATCAGAAGGCGAGCGGCGGGAGGGCGGATCAGCGATGCGCCGCTCAAAGCGAAGCCTTGTCGACACACAGAAGGCCCGGGCCTCCGAGTAAACGGCTCCGGTCGTTTGGGCAAATTAGGGCAACACGGCAGTGCGCACAACAAAGTGTGTGTTATTGGCTTCGGTAGGAGCAATTACTTTTAAATTATGATAATAGCCTCTTTAAGGGTAATTTCACAGAAAACACTAGCGTGCTTCTTTCTTTGGGCCGTGGCTCTACTTTACTGCCCTCTGTTTTCCTGGTTTTCCTTCCCCTGCCGCTCCTCTCATCTACCACCCCCCCAACCCGGTCACCCCTAATACGCATCCCGACTAAACACACACCTCAGGTTAATCAGTTGACACACACATACCGCTCTACCCCCGACGCGCCCCGCCCTGCACCTCCGGGCTAATCACTTCAAAGGAAAGATGCTATCTGGACCCGCTGAAGCGAATCCCGGCCACGCAGACCCTTTCAAACAACAAAACACAGCCTCTCTCGGCCCTTTCAAAAGGTGGACCCCGGCCTCTAATCAGCATTTTGTCAACACTGGATGGAGACTTTGAGTCCAGAGATGCAATCAGCCGTTGGTCCGTTTGGCAGCGCTGCAATCGAGCCTCAGGTATTCGGAACGTTTCGCCGTTTGGACCAAATGAAAGAATGTTTTGCTTTTGATCAATCAGGAAGAAGGAGGGAGGAGGAATAAAACAAACCAGACTGCAAAGGTCCAGAGGAGGAACAAACAGATGGGACAACACACACATACACGCACAGATCTCCTAGGGTTTTTCCCTTAAATGTACCACTCCCTTAATGCCTCCCTCCCACATTCTACGCACCAGGAACCACAAAGCACTGTTTGTTTGATCGATAAGTTCAGCTTTGCTTTGGAGTCCGTCCCAAATACGAACCGCGGCACAGCTTTTCGTTCTCTTCTAGGTCACATTTACTTAAGAGGGAGCAATCATTTTTGCTTTAATTGCTATCATTGCATTATGGTAAAAGTAGGATCCAGTACTTTTAAAGGTTTTCCCAGGCTAAAGACTTGTTGTCAGGATATCTGAGCTTCTGTTGCTTCAGATTTGACCCTTTCCATGTTTAATCCGTCTGCAACTTTGTGGAATTGCCATCCTAATTATGAATGAATTGTTCATTATTCTATTGCAGGTATTACCTAAAGCAAAAGAGAGCTGAACGCGCAAAAAAATGTCACTTGAATATTGGTCCAGACGTAACTATGCACTAACCAAATATAAAAAGTGAGGTTTCTTATGTCAATAATGAATTTACTTGATTTCATTTTCCCCATTTTTTTAAATTAGCAGAAATTTACAGGAAATCGGGCTGCTGGGGATCAGTCCTCCAACCGGGTGTTAACCTGCTGACTGTGGGCATTGACGGCAGAGGCATGTTTGTGTCTACCCGTGTGCAAGGGGGGCATTTTGATGACCTCTGGAGATGACCTCTAATCCCTTGGAAAGGTTAAGAGGCAGATTAGGAGGGCAGGGGAATTACAGATGGACCCCACCCCTCCCCAGGCTCAATGCAAGTGACGCACGTCCTCCAGGAATTTGAGATTGTGTCTCTCGCACCACACGATCCATAACATACCGAGACGATGATGGATCAGCCCCCCTCCTTACCTTGCTTGATGGTCCGGTGGTTCGGGTTTGCTCTTCATACGCCGCGACGTTCTCCCAGGTGGCGACCACGGCAACCGTGGGTGTGAATTTGGCATCCGGGAACCCTTGGTGCACTTCCTGGGTGAGCAGATGGATGAATGAATGATGCGGGGAAGAGAAAATAAAGGAGGGGGCCGGGGGGGCGTGGAGTGTAAAATGGATTGAACTAATGGATGAAGAACTGGAAAAGAGGAGATCCGTAGTCAAGCGCCGTGCGACACGTGACTTAAAAGATTTTTACACCTGGGTTCAAACTGGACCAACGGTCTGCCTACTTTACAATTGCACGACTGCTATTCCCTTCGCTCGATTCAGTGGACCAACAGACCTGGGCCACTCGGTTCAGGACGCCGGGCGTTTCCGTCACCCGGTAGTAGATTTGTCCTCGCCCCCCACTGGTGTCGATGTCGGCCAGGAACGGAGCCACCGCGGGGAAATCCGTGGGGAAGCCGTCGTCTACGTACTGCTTCTCCATCGGCAGGTCCTGGGCGGAGATGATGCCGTTGGTGGCCACCTGGACTCAGAGAGAAAGAGAGAGAGACGGCGTTTAACGACAGCTACCGCTGAGGCTCCAAGAGGACCCCTCTGGACCCCAAAAAGGCCAGAAAGAAATAGCTGCAGCGCCATTATGAACCCACCGAGCTGTCTTATTAGCCTGTGTACCATCAGAAGTCACTGGGACCCTCTGTGGGCACCGGTAGAGCCCCTCACGGGCCCCGGGAAACACATAAGGAACTCCTGTGTCACCCCAAAGTCCTCAGTGCCCGGACCCTCTTGATGTATTCTGCTTTTGCAATAGAACATGATACCATTCGGTGTTTTTGAATTTTGAGTATTCCTTAAACCAGTCCAGGACATTTCTGTGTTGATTTTGAGATGCTTGTCCGTTACTTGTGAATTACCGTTAGGGAACATCATCGCAATGTACGTACAAAACTGGAAAGAACTCTTCATGCAGAATGGCCCATTCCAGACTGATATATGTGTGTTATTGTCTAATAACTGCAGCATGCATTAATGTGTAAGTTCCTCTCATGTCCCAGTTGCTAAAGGCGGGCCGGCTGAAGCTACTTTGTAAACTGCTGGGCAGCTTCAAGGGGTTAAAGTTAAACATTTTATTCACTTCACAAACAGAGTTATCAAACTTTGTTTAATGTATATGTGCAGTTCACTTTTGAGCCACATAGGGAAACTCAGATAGTAATTCTGCCAAAATGCATTTAAAAAGCATTTAGCATGTAACTAAATCAGCTCAATCTAATTTATATCTCTTCTAACTGGCCCGTTCACCTATTCAAGATAACTTAAGGCGAGTGGCAGTGCAAAACATCAAGAATGTTCACATACGCACAAATTTACTCTCTCACATTCTCTCACAATTTATAAATGAGGCTGATTGCAAAAGGAGCTTGCGATGGCTTGACATTTTTACGAAACGGGTGATCAAATATCAGAAACCTCTAGCCAATAACCCCTAGCATGACGTCATCATTTTTTAGTTGACTGTATGTATTAATACTGTGTGCAAAGTCCCTATTAACTGAAGCTGTCTGGTGAAGTAAAAACACCTCTTTCTGAGAAGGTAAGCGTGTTAAACTACCCCAAAACTTTAGGTTGACACATCACTGTCCAGTGGCCATAATTCATAAGTAGTTTAGATACTTTTATTTTACTTAGGTTAATTTTAATCCTGCAATACTTTCAATTGTAATATCAGTTATTCTTCATCTGTTGAGAAAGTTAGCTCTGGATTTGTAATTGATGGTGACGTCAGAACGTGGCAAGATGTCTTTCCCTCGACATGAACTACCTTCACACAGTCGTTAATAAAACGCATCATCTGGCAGCAGAAACAGCAACAACAGCAAAAAACCCATCCGGCTTTACTGCGGCTCAGCAGCTGCAGACATCACCTGCACGCCGTTAACTCTCCCGTTCTGTGCGGCGGCCAACGCGCCGCGCATGCGCACCGGCGCAACGCCCGCACTTCACTTACGTATAGCTGTGAGAAGCGGGTCCTGTAGAAGGTCAGCGGCCGGGACAGGGGCAGCACTCTGGAGGTTTCATCGTCTCCCTCCGCCAGGACCTGGTCGCCGCTCTGGGGCCCGTACGGGTACATGTCGGTCCGCCGGATGGCGGAGACCAGGCACACGCCACAGCTCCAGCACAGCAGACACGCGGCCAGCATTCCCAGTCTCTCCATCGCGGGGCAGCTGGGAGCAGAAGCGAGAGAGGTACAGATGGGCTCGCGAGCAGGGCAACGAGAAAGACGGGGAAACTTTCCTCCTCCTCCTCTTCCTCCTCCTCCTCCCTGTTCGTGGAGCCTCGGATGCTCCGCGGGAAGGGGAGGGGGACAGGCCCGCTCTGATTGGTCGGAGGCGGGCTAAGAGTGACAGCAGGGCCGGTGCTGGAGGTAACATCTGGCTCGAGTTAGAGAGAAGACAAATAGAGCGGTTTTAATCCGGATGTAACTCTATCTGACTCACATCAATGTAAAGAAGACATCGTGTTGTTTTTACACGCACGCGCAAACAGAAACGAGCGTGCGCGCGCACGCCAGAATTCCATTGGTACACAGTTAAGAAAACAGAGGTGCAACTGTCAACATGGATGGATTTATTTCTTTGAATACATATCGATAATAACTACACCTCCAGATTAAGATGTGTGTTGGTTTCAATTTTAGTGGGCTGGAGACATTTAATATGTATTTTACCAGTTTTTTTTAATCGGTCACACAAACCATAATATTGTGAGTCTTAAAGTTTTTAGATTACTTAGTTATTTACTCAATAAAGGCACCTTAAAATGTGATGCCACATTCTATTGATGCCACCTTAAAATGCTTTTACCTGTGCGCCACCTAGTGTCTGCAACGGCCTATGGCAGACATGTGGCACATCATATTTGCAGCTATCTGAAAATAATGAAATAATCAGCAATCAACAACTTATTTCTTATAACTTGAAATAAATAAAACAAGAAGATGCCCGTTGGACCCACCGAACCCCTTATTATCAATCAATTAAATCTCTTCTATATTTACCTATTAGTACTACAATTTATATTTTACATTTTTTAAATTATAATTATTTATGTAGTTATTTATCTTGCATTATTATTACCCTTTATTTACCTGTTCAGTTATTTTTCTCTCCTCCTTCGTCTGGTTGTAGATATTCATTTATGACATGAACACATACATTGCACTAAATAAAACAGATTGTATACATCTTATGTTAATCTATGTACATAATGTGTGCACATAAATACATATTAATGTTTCTCCAAGTAAACCTCAAAAAGAGCAACAGAGGAGGAATCCTTCTCCTAGAAGCAAAATCGAGAATAGTAAAATTAGAAAATGAAATGAAAACGGATGACGATATTTGCAGATATATTTTTTCCGTTTCCATATAGAGTCACTATATATTTCGACACACTCATATTTCAGCTTGTAAACCTCACAATAAAAACCTTGATTCTAGTACTCTGACAGTAAACACACAAAAAATAGTTTGTGTGTTAAAATGTGCGGTTGCCATTGAAAACCTACACGCTATAATTGAATCCTCCCTGTGGCGTTACAGGGGATGTTTGTACCTGCTCAGAGCAGCCTGTAGGGGGAGGCAAAGGTCAGGCTGACATTGTCAACCCCACAGATTTGACTTTCTTCCTTTGGTCTGAGAAAAAACTCTTGAATTTGTGCATGTGGAAAATGTCACATCGTCCTCGTCCTCCACGTTATAAATGGTCACACCATCTTGGCCAAAACACTCGTAATCGGATCCCAAGAAAAAAACACGGCAAAATAATGATAGCAATTCCCTCACACGTTGACCTTGAAAACGTTGACTCATCTGATCCGTATTTCAGTGTGTGATTCCAGGTATTATTACAGGCTGGTGACAGGAGATATTCACCAAAAAATCAATGGGCTCATTAATGATTCATGCAAGACCATTAGCAGGCTGCCCAAACGCACACACACACACACACACACACACACATTATTTTGACATGAAGGAGTGAGGAGGGAAATTAAGCCAAGGAAGGAGTTGAGGCTTGGCGAATGGTCAAATCGCTTCTAAAGGAAGAGCACGGGAAGATAGCGACGATCGCCACTTTAGATTGCCTACCACAGTAAACTCTATCATCATACGGATCCAGAGCCTGTCAAGGGCCCTCAAGAGATCCCACGCGTACGAGAAGAGGAAAAGGGAAAGGAGAGGAGAAAGAGGAAAGATAATTAAAAATATGTAAATGACGGGAAATTAAAAGAGTCAAGTGAGACCAACGGAGGAAAGGAAAGACAAAAGAAATTGGAAATGATGAGTCATAAATAAAAGGAAAAGGAAGGTAATCAAGCAAGAGGAATAGACAAAATAAAAAGGAAGGGCCAGTAAAGAAAAGACAAGGAAAACGACAGGAATCAAAGCAGAGAAAACAAGAGGAAAGGAAGGCCAGGGAGAGGAGAGGCATTTTGGCAGCGGCGAGGGCAAGAGGGAAAGGTAAGAGGAGGCAAATATAAAATGCTAATTGCGGACTGTGCATGAATTACTCTGTTGCCTGCTTATGCCATAACGCTCTATACATTAACACGTCTGAGCTCCTTCCGCAGAGCGACTGACCAGGTCGTGGACGAGAACGGGGAGACGGAGACACCAGGGAAGCGGCGATGGTGTAATGGCCTACTGTGCTAATTAAGATCTCCTTAATGGGCCTGAATAAAAGACACTCAAGGGCTCACAGCGAGCATCGTTTCAGGAATCCCGTCTGCCCTTTATGTCACCTTTTAAAACGAGGGGAATGGTGCAATTTGGAATGTCGTTTAAGTGGGCGGTTGGATTGTTTGAATGTTGTGAAGATGTCACGGGGTCACGGATCGAAAAAAAACACATCCCATCGATCCCGGTAAGCAATTAAGGCCTTGAATCCCCGTGATTGCTGTAGGACAAAGAGTGATCTTCACATGTAAAGACACAGAGTAAACACGGTGAACACGGATGGTAAATGTGTGGGGGGCGTGGGGGAGGTCACTCACATGTCCATCCACGCAGCAAGTTCCCCTAAAACTTGCTTAGCAAGTGCCCCTCCTCGTTCTTGTTATCATGAATGATAATTGCAGCCATCTGCATGCACATCTCCCTGTTGAATCAGAGAAAACAATAGAAATATATATATATATATATATTTAATATACAACATATACAAGTTTACAAAACTTTACAAAACTGTAGATTTTTTCTGACTGAAGACGGGTACATTTAGAATCTGTGGATAATAATCATATTTCATTAGCAGCATACTAAGTGGATTAGTCGCGCAGCAAAACATGATTTGCCAGTAATGCGGGATGTTGATTAAGTGATCATTCAAAAACATTTTATTCAAATTTTCAGTGGGCACAAATGCTGCTTTTGTGCGGTTTCTCATCATTTAAATGTAACATTGTGGGACTTTTCTGGACCGCCCACGTTTTTTTTAAATTTTGATTTATTCACCCATTTATTAATTAACCAGAGTTAAAGCATACAGACATTGTTACTCTGGCGACTCTCGCTAATGAAGCTCTGGACGACACGTTCTTCTGAGGATTTCATAATGAACAAGGAAAAAGCTTGTTCACTGTGAGCCACGCCGAAACAAACCAAACAACAAACCCAAGTGCTCCTCTACAACCCGCCCGCTTTTCGTTCCCTCAACCTTCCCACAAACATCACCACAACACATGCCCATAGGATGATTAACATACACAACGGGAGCCTCAGTAAATGTAACCTCAGAATGTCAGTCCGTTACAAGCACAAAAGAAAAGACTTCAGGAAAGAGTGATGTTGGTTCATGATGACAGTAATAGTATTGTGATTAATATTTAAAATAATGTCCACTAATTGATGGTAATAGTATGTGTATATGCATAATTCATCAGTGGGATGAAAAGCATTTATGTCTGTCCCATCCATGTGAGGGTTTGATCACCATGTTAGCTTTTAATTGACCGTTTTTTGAATACATCGTTTGGATATAATTAAGATGAACTTGTTGTGACTGGGCACACTTCCAAAAATTGTAGTGGTAGATCACTTGCTTTTATAAATCAAATCAAATCAAAAAATACTTCAATACTTTAACTAAGCGAGCGGTAGTGAGCAGAAGCCATGTTTCACCAGTTTTTTTAAATGAGTAAATTATCCCTCTGGTATGAGAAACTCGTATAGTTCCGCATGGTCTTCGCACCGGGAGCCTGTGGGCACGCGCGCGTGGGCGTGTCCGCTCCCTGTGACGTCACAGCATCGTTCCCCGTACCGCGAGCCAAGTCATCCCCGACCTCCTCACAGCGCGGCGCGCCTCGCCCTCTCCGCACCGCACCTCCGGTTTCTGTTCGAGACAAAACACGCCGCGGCTGCACCGGGGAAGAGCACGACACGTCGGGACACATTTCTCTGCGGGGACGCGTCTCCAGTGCGGCTGTGGGGGGCGGAGGCGGAGGCTGAAGGGGGGCAAGTGGGTGAGAACTTGGTTCGGATGAGTTTCGGCGCGTGAGGGGAAGAGTATTTCTTTCTCATTCGGAGCGACCTTCAGGCGAATCGTTAACGACATCTGGGTGAACTTTCCCGAGCCGCGCAGAGTTGGAATTAAATCAGTTCATTCATAAGTATTTAGTTGATTTTTTAGTTGTTTTAATGATGGGTTTTTTTTCTAAATCCGAATCCCTCTTTGACGGCAGGACAGTTCGCTTCTCGTCTCACGTCTTCTGTGCACAACCGAGAGCGTTTCTCTCTGAATTCTAACAAAGACCTAACTTTCATTTTCCCACACGTTTGATTTTACAGTACAGCATCCAGCTGACCGCGCGACTCAAGCAACACCTGGACACATCTGTCAGAGCTCCTTCAGTGACATTTGGACACTTAACTTAACTTCCAGCAGGCATCGCCAGACACGTCGGGCTGAGCAAGTAGGTTAGTCACTTGTTTGATGCACCACACACGCACACACACGCCAAATAGGAGTGGGTTGTTGTGTTAACCACAGGAGGAGGGTTCCACATTCTACCGAGTAAGATCCGTTTCTTCATACTTCAGCACAACTGCCTGTTTGAGGAGACGAATCCAGTGTGCAAACTGGAAAAACCGCAGCCTTAGAATCGTCAACTGACAACTGTTGACTGGGACGGAAGAGGAACAACGCCGGGTTTCACAAGTCACACTGGCGCATAGTTCAAGCCAGGGAAAGTTCATATAAAAAAAAAGAATCAGTTTTATTAGACGGTTGGGTGGTGGGGGGGGGGCTCTGTCTGTCCTTTGGGAAACAAATTATCTCCCCGGGAACATCAACAAACGCGTTTGTCGGATAGATGGTTGATTTTTGGGTAACTGGTTCCTCAAATTTGCAGTAGAATATATACAAATAAAAGCTGTAAACTCAGAAACCCGGGATTTGTCGTCACTTTCCGTGACTTTTGCGCTACGTGCAAAAAATATCAAAATATTCTTTGTTAATCAACTGACAAATCAGTAGCCGCCACAACTCTAAACCTCCGTTGTTCTTCCTTCCTTTCTGTCCACCCAGGATGGCCGCAGACTACTTTTTAGGGACAATCTTTTGACACTTTCTAGTTTTTGGATTGGACTGATCCCGGCCGGCCAGCCCCCCCACCCCCCTTGCGATGGAGAAAGAGGCTGACGCGATGGCGAACGAGGACCTGTGCCACAGCAAGCTCTACATCAACTCCAGAGAGAGCCCGCTGGTCAGCGCCATCATGTTCGCCGCCGGCGTCCTCGGCAACGTGGCGGCCCTGGTGATCCTGGAAATCCGCCGGCGCAGGGACACGAGGAACGGGAACATGTGGCGCCGCTCGCTGTTCCATGTCCTCATCGTGGCGCTGGTGGTCACCGACCTGGCGGGCACCTGCCTCATCACCCCGCTGGTGCAGCTGTCCTACTCGCTCAACTCCACCTTGGTGGGGATGTCCCGGAACTCCGACAGCGTATGCTCGTACTTCGGCGTCAGCATGACCTTCTTCAGCCTGGCCACCATGTCGCTGCTGTTCTCCATGGCGCTCGAGAGGTGCTTCGCCATTGGGTACCCCTACCTGTACAGCCGGTACGTCACCAAGAAGTGCGCCTACATCGCCATCCCCGTGGTGTTCCTGCTCTGTACGCTCTTCGGTCTCCTCCCGTTCGCCGGATTCGGCAAGTACGTGCAGTACTGCCCCGGGACCTGGTGCTTCATCGACATGAACCCGGCGGAGAGGAAGCACCGCGTCTACGCCAACCTGTACGCCAGCCTCATGCTGGTGCTGGTGCTGGCCATTGTGGCGTGCAACGGCTTCGTGGTGTACCAGCTGTTCCGGATGTACCGGCGGCGGCGGCGGAACGGCGGCTCGATGATGCCGGCGAGGTCCGGCGGCGAGCGCAGGGTGATGTCCATCGCCGAGGAGGTGGAGCATCTCATCCTGCTGGTCTTCATGACCATCATCTTCATCATCTGCACACTGCCCCTTGTGGTAAGACGGCGGCCGTCGACTCACTTTCTGTACAGAAATATACACTCATGTGTGTAGCTTTTTTTTTTGTAGCTGAGTAAAGTTCATCCGGTCAATTCCCGACCGAAAGGGTTAGCTCGTTTATTGATTAGGTCAAAGGTTCAGTTAATCAATATTGTTGCATAAGTAGCAACTCGATGAGCGGTCTTGGGGGACTGGTGTTTTACCCAACATCCGTTCCCTAGACATTACACAATACATCACTTTCATATATTTGCTGGCTTTCGTTAAAGCCAAACAGTGTGGTGGTTTAAGCACATCTGGTCTTGAAGACTGCTTGTGCTTGCATGAAGTATCTTGACATGGGGGCGTTTTCATGTATAAAACACAATCAATATTAAGAACTAATGTCTGTGAATGATGGGTTATTCATATTTAAACATTTATTTCACAACTGTTGCATGTACATAATATTATTATGTGCATGTACAATCAGAAACATATGGTGGACAAAACCTATTGGGATGTCTCCATTTATAGTGGGAAATATAGCTAGAGCACACAACAACATATTTAATTTAGCCGGCTTCAGCCCGAATGCCAGCTGGCCACTGGACCTTGTGAGAAATGAGTCAAAGGGGCGTTCCGGGCAGCTGCATTTAGCTGCATGCCAGAGTGACACCCTCCTAATGCCAGGTGTGGCGTAAAATAACGTTTTTCGTTAATGGGTGGATCTTTCCAAAGTCAACAGAAAAACAGCAAAAGACATCTGACACGTATTGTGTAAATATCATGTTGAATCCTCTAGAAAGCCGCATGCCTATGAGGAAGGAGGTTAAGGAAGAAATCGTATCATTAACAAGGGCAAAGTGTGAATGCGAATGTCCTGTGAGGAATCTGGTATTTGACCAGCGATCAGGAACCGATTTAGACCGGGGCCGTCTCAGAAGTTGTAATTCTACACCTAGCCGCCTCTTCAGATGCCCTGTTTGCAAACAGCCTTATCGTTACGTTACCTTATCGCCACGGCTTAAGATAGTTGGATCAATATTGATGAACTTGAGTTACTCTCTCTCAAGACCTGAAAGCTGAGAATGAAGTCTGGAGCAGAGGGTGATGGATGGCTAGACTCCAGGTTGTACAGCCTCTAACCCCCCCTCCCCTTCCCCCTTCACCAATTGTCACTTAGTATTTTAATAATTAATAACTTTTCCGGTAGTATACGACGCCCGGGCGCTTTAACACCGAGAGCTACATGATAGTGCCGTCTTGTTCCCCGGTGCCTCTTGGTTGTGGCTGGAAATGCAGAGTCACGAGCCTCGTGTCCGGGAGGATTTCTGCACCAGGCTTGATTGAATTGCATCCGCGACATCACAAACACAAACCTCAAAGTCGCTAATGAGCCCTGTGTTGTGTGGAGTCCCAACGCACTCACGGTCAATGATGTTTTGACTCTTGAAAACACATGGCAGTGTTTTTTTGTGTAAATCCAGGTGTACGCTGCGCCTGTAGCACGGAATCCGCCATGGGATGTTTGTAATGGATTAAAACAAATGCACGTGAAGCCTCGCGCCGCGGTCCACAAGATCTAAGAGGCCTCATTTTGGTGGTAATTAGGGAAGATTACCAGTCAATTTCCAGAAAGTTTCCGGAAAGTTTCCACAGGAAGTTAAGCCTGAGAATTTTGACAATTTTTATCAAAAGCAGGAAACTAAAATGTGGTTGAGAATAAGCATCCAGGATGCAGCTAGTTTGGGACATTGTCTGACAGAAACGTAGACATAAACCGTTCTGTTGTTTTTGAATGTCTTTGTCGGGGTAGGAGGGTGATCATAGGGAATACTCTATTTAATTCAAGTTCCTGCTTTTGTTGTTCAATGACAGAATAAATGTCACTTTTAAAATTTGTATTAGAAATGTTTGCATCCATGTCTTCTTATGACAAAACAAAACGTTGTTTCATACCATAGTCAGAGATGACTAGGTAAATATAGTTAAATTACCCATATGTTCCCGTTTATGGAAAAACAATCTTTTGAAAAGCGTGGATGGTGTCTTAAACTGGGGTGTGCACTACCATACGCGGGTGAAGGACAAAAATGGGGACACTCATGTCTCTCATCAGGAGTGAGAGGGATGACTCGGGCACAGTGAGGTTAAGGACGGACAGAAAGGAGGCAGCCGACTGCAGCAGATCCACACACCCAATGAGGCAAATCACTATTTACAGTGGGATGAATTAGTCAAACGGCTATTTGCTTTTCCATATGAATGTCGGCGGCCGTTCGGCTTGGAGTCAACAGACTTATTCAAACGTGATCAAACGTAATTAAATGTGCCACAAATAGCATTTTATGGTTATTTTTAAATTGAATTAATAAACGGTGAGTGCACAGGCAGCGCACCGTGGGCCGTATAGTTCATCCAGAGTTGACCTTTCCCACCTTCAGCCAAACAGGTGATTCACGAGAAGGACGAATTTATTTGAGTGCCACTCACGTATCTGAATCATCATCTGAATCACACAGGCCGGCTCCTTATTACAGTTTATATTTCCCTACACAAAAAAACGAGAGTAAATCAGACTTAAACTGGACTTTAAAATGTCTAGAGTTGATTTCAGAGGGTTTCTATTATTCTTTCCACCGTTTGAAATGACATAATAATTGTTATCGTTTCCAGGCATTCATTAGCTGCGTTGAGCAGAAATGAAGCTGTTGGCTCGTGCTCCTTCATATTTGTTAAATCGCTGTTGATTTAAACTGCTGGGAGCCAAGAAAAGCTCTGAGTGTTTCATTTGGTCTTTGTTACGCGTCCCTTACGTTTACCAGACACCCGGTGACGGTAACTAGAGCTTTCACCACAGCGGTAATGTCTGCATGCATTCAATCCTCTTCTGGGGGGAATCAAACTCACTCACATCCTCTACAGAATGGCCACAATAACGTATTGGCAGACCTTTTATTGGAGCCTACCTTTCCCCATATTTCATTCAAAGTACACATTATGTTATTGCGCTGGGAGGGAAGGGAGGGAGAGAGGAGGCAGAGCATTATATATTAGACTCTTACAGAGGGGGGGACTTGTGAGCTCAGCAAACCTGAAAAGACCCGTGTGTGGCCTCCCAGATCTTTGAACATACAGGTGGGAAACAATCCTCAGCAGCCGCCACGGGAATCTGTTCCTACAGAACAACACCACTTATGTTGTTGCAGCATGATCTTAACATGCGCGACTGTGCAGTAAGACGACTGTGCAGGAATACGACTGTGCAGGAATACGATTGTGCAGGAATACGACTGTGCAGGAATACGACTGTGCAGGAATACGATTCTTCAAATTCATATCAGCGGATTCGATCTGCCAGTGGCAGGAGTGAAGTGAGCTCGCTCCACGCGGTGTGAGAATGCTTGCCAAGATATAATTCAATACATCATTCATGAGCTTCATAAACACTCACAAGTTTCCAGCCAGCAGCGTGATGCCAGTCTGAGGTTATTGATACAAACACACACACGCACACACACACACACACACACACACACACACAGTGATTATATTACACTTCTGTACGCCGGCTATCTGTGGTTGTATAAAACATTGATAAGGTCAGACAAAAGCCTTTTTGTGCATAAAAAGAAACCAACATTCAGAGAGATAAGAAGGAACCGACATTCAGAGAGATAACAGAAAAAGCAAACAAGTCGTGGAATCCGATTGGTTTGAGGATATTTTCTCCTTTTACATGACGAGTAACTCATATGTGTCAAAATTCACAATTCAGTTCAGTAGGAACAAACTACCGCAGAAGAGGGCGAATCCTGATCCCATTACCGCGCCACCTTTGGAATTCTTGAGTTTCCGGCCTGTGAGAACGCATAAGCGTGCGTCTTTGTATTGACTATATTTACAACGGGCTCCTTTATCGCGGTAAACCTAACAAGAAAAGGCCACACGGCCGCAAACATGTTGTTACTGGAATAAATCTAAGTCGGGCATTCTCCGATGAAACTCTGCAAGACGTCCTAGTCATGATCTCGTGCAGCGTCGGGATGCAGCTGCTCTGCATTTAAAGACACCGCGGTGGTCGGAGAACTATTCCCGAGGTTGTTGCGTAACACCAAGACTTTGGGAAAATCAGACGAACGGCTGCTTTCGAGCGGGACCCTTTCAGTTCCTTTTTAACAGCCGTGTGATCGGCTGGTGAAGGCGGTCGTTGTCCTCCATGGCAACGCTTCTGCAGCCGGGGGTTCTGTGGCTGACTAATAGGAAACTGGCCTAATGAGATTGGAGTGGTCTTTTTTTTTTGTTGTATTTTTCAAGACAAGAGAGAACAGATCACCGTTACTTTCTCCTCCACTTTTATATTCATTGTTCAACTCCGACCCCCCCAGAGAGAGAGCTTTTAAAAACATGCAAACAAGTCATAGCTTCCATGGATTGTATTAATGTGCTGGTTCCCAACCTTGTGGAAGGGGGGTCGGGGGGGGGGCGTAATAAAACGCACAGACAGGAAGCAATGAATGAAATCTGCTGCTCAGCAGCTCTACTAAAAAACAGCTGTATGTTCGGTTGCCATTTGGAGAAGGGCAGAGGCTCACAACGCGTATGTAATATAGTGAGGCGGAATGCACTTCAACATCTTAATTTTGGCTCGTTTAATTTGATTGGAAGAAGGTTAACGGCTGCACATATTTGTCGTTTCACTTATCGTGGTTGTGTTTTACGTTTTCATTATTCTGTGAAAAACCCCGAGCCGAGTTATTTCTGCCGTCCTTTTGACCCTTGTGAGATCCATCTCCTGCGCACATGTTCACGTCCCCGGTGACCCTTCCGCCACACATTGGCCTCGGCAGTCCTGCTGAAAGGCAAGCGAGGCGACAGCAACAGGGAATCAAATATCCTGTTTGAATTAGAACGGCGGCGTGCTCTCTGCAAACATCCTGTGTGTCCTGGGATGAGTGAGAGGGATTTAGGGCCGGAGGAGGAGAGCGTTAGCGTGCGCGCTTTGTGTGGAACATGCACGGAGCGTGAATTTTCCGAATTAAAAACATTTTCCCATCAAGGCCAATGGGATTAGTTTTAGTTTTTGGGATTAGATGTACTACGTTTGGGGTGTCCCAGTATCCATGTGCTGCTGCTTTAGAGGGTTGACTGTGTGATTTTACCCCCATGTTGTCGCTGACGGGCTGATTTTATAACCCCACCCTCTCTCTCTCTCTCTCTCTCTGTCTGTCTGTCCACCTTTTCAGATCCGGGTTTACATCAACAACTCGTATAACAACGAGTCTCACCAAGAGGACCTGAAGGCCCTGCGCTTCATCTCCATCAACTCCATCATCGACCCCTGGGTCTTTATCCTCCTCTCCCCCGGCGTGCCGCACTTCTGCTGGGCCTCGGTGTGCCGGGCTCCCCTGCAGTCTTTCAGGGGCTCCATTTTTAGGTCGTCCATTGTCAGTTGCCCCGCCAACCTCGAACTGTCTCGCCGGACGCTGGAGAGTACACCTAGCATTCTATGACCATGGCCGCAACGGCGCCCTGCTATTTCGCGCCTGCATTTATCGGACTCTGGATTTGGATGCCGCGCTGGATGGAAGCGGAGAGGCCCGCGGCATCCCTCCCGCGCGGGTGGCGTTTCTTATCTGCTTCATGAATGTGTTTCCGTTAGATATTGGCCCTCCGTGTCTAACAGGGAAAACATCGGCCCTGCGGCTACATGTTGTGAACACATGTGAAAAGCTTGACATGCCTCCTTTGTTGCTTATGTTCTTATGCCAGTTTATTTGAAAAAAAGAAGCTGCTGCTGGTAGAAGAAAAAAAAGAGTGTGAAAGCTTTAGCCTATGCTGTATTAAGCATGTGCAGAAGCTCGTCAGAGCAGGGCGCAGGACTTAAACGTGCCCAGCAACCACTATAAGCATGGGACTCGGCTACTTTGTAGGCCACGTTACAAGTAATCTAGACATGACATACTAGTATATTGATATTGTACTACAAGTAAGCTGAAATATTTGATTTTAAATAGTCAGGGCATGATGTTGTGAACATTATCTCATCACTTGTGGTCTGCTTTGGTAACCGTTCCCATCGCAGGCCTTATCGGATTTCTGCTGGAAAGGTCCAAGAGCAAGAAGCCTGGAGAGACTTTCTAGAATACAAGAAAGTCAAAACCACTCAGGGAGCGAGTGATAAACACACAAAAGGTTCTGCTGAGGATGAATAATTTAACGTGTCCTGTATTGGCATATAATATTATGTATCACAACAATATTTTACAAATAGGTTCTTCATATGGGACAATATAAATGTTTGTTGAAAATCAAAGACTTTTTTGCAGAATATGTCTAACGCGCATAGAAAAAATGATTATGTCACTGAAATGTAGCAAATGGTGGTACTTTTTAAGGAGCAAACCTCCTTTTATAACAACACATTTAAAAAAACCAAATACTTTTCTGCTCTTTGGAGGTTCATTATGAATAAAGGTGAACTCGTAGCCTGTTGGCGCCTTCAGCCACAAACCGCCAGCTCAGCCGAAATGCTCCCAATCTCCAATAAAGCACCTTGAAATATAATTAAACTCTTTCTGTCCTCCAATATAGACAAACACAACACAAACAAACACTCAAACAAATGCAGGGCATGACAAGTTGTCAAAAGGTTTTTGGAAAAAAAAATCTATATGCTATATTATGAATAACAAATGAATAATATTGAGCCGGTTTACCTTTAAAAAAAAGCCATGTTTTAGTTTTCGTCCTCACAGGAATTATTCCTTTCGCTGGGTCCTTCTGCGCCGTCACGTGACCAAAGAGTTATTTGGCAACTATGAGACGTGCCACCTTTGTCCCAATTTACGCATGACTTTTACTGCGGGACATCTCTGATCGGCATCTCTGTCCATCGTTCATGCGGCACAAAGGACGTCCACTTATTTAAATTATAACAATGTCGGGTCGAACTGACTCACTGAAACCAGATTTCGGGGGAAGAAGCAGGTGGTTCTCTTCACGCTAATGGTTTGATTAAAAAAGGTGGATTCATCGCGGACTACGCTGCATAACGCAATGAGACGGATTGAGACTTTCACAGCAGTTCTTCCTCGGAAATGAATCAAATTCAAACAGAGAAGAGGATCAAGTTCAACAGATTTGTTTTTGCGGGACCTTCTATAAACTTGTCTGGGAAAAAAATAAATATTTGTGTAACTGGGGTTATGAAAGAGCAGCAGAGTCCAGTTTGAATTGACGGGCTTTGTCCTTTTACTTTTAAAGTATCACGTGTGTGTGTGTGTGTGTGTGTGTGTGAGAGCAGTGAAAATATATTCTGCTTTGTCGTGTTGTGAGAACTGCGGCATATTTGCCTCCACTGGGCAGCTCGGCATGAAAACATTCAGCGTTTACGACGGCATCTCGCTGCTTCCTGTGGCCGTCACGTGGCTTCTGTGCGTTATTGCAAATATTCCCACGTGCATGTTTGTCCTTTTGTGTGCTTACAATAAGTGTGTGTGTGTGTGTGTTTGTGTTCGAGAGACAGACAGCACTGAAATGTAATGGAGTCAAATCAGAATGCTACCTACCTGGATGTCTTGTACTCTGTATTTATAACGTACTGTAGATTAAACTGAATGCACTGAGTGTGTGTGTGTGTCTGTGTTTTATGGCTTGTGTAAATAAACATCTCATCCAGCAGAATCTCATCTTTTTGTTTTTTCTGTTTTGTCTGACCTGCCTTGTAACCATTTTCCTCTACACACACACACACACACACACACACAAACACACAGTTTGCAGATGGGTTCCAGATGTGGCGTTTGACAATTAGACATTTTAATTTCAGTTTCTCTACGTCTGCCTTGAGGAATCCTCCCCCCCCTCTTCACGGTGAGTTTACAGCGTGTGTCAGACCCCTGCGGTCTGAGCAAAGTCGGCCGTTGTTTGACGGTGAGCGTTGACCATATCTGACAAACGAGGCCATGTCTGCACAGAGGAAGTGCTTTGTGTGATCCGGGCTTCCTTTTTGCCAGCAGAGGCTACTTTTGTGATCATATGTACACTCATTCTTCTTTTCGATGGTTACCGCCACATTTAGAAAAGCCTTAGCTGAGATTTCAAACCTGCACTTGACAGGAGAGAAACAAAAAGGTCCAACTACGTCCTGTCAGCCGGTATCGACCCGAATGCATATCAAATGTTTCCTGTGGGAAGGAAGGTGACCACGCAGAACATTTAGGCGATGACAATTATTCACTCCTGTTTTCTAGCCGTTCTTCACCAGGCTCCCCCGACAAAAAAAACCTGACTCTAATCACGTCGTTTCCTCCCTCCTCCTTCCTCCTCTCCTCTCCTCTCCTTCCAACATGAGCCTGTGGATGCCCGGTAATCTAATTCACACAGATTTATCATTTGGGATTGGAGCCGCTAAACGCTGGGACCCGTTTCTACGGCGATCTCCTGTCTCCTCCTCGCTCGCTTCCTTCTGTCTATTAGTAGTTAATCCCACCCAGATTTTTTCCCCCTTTCACACTTTTCACGCTTCCATTGGTTGAGATTTATAAGAGTTATGAGTCTTCGCACCCCGTCTTCTGCGCTCACCCCACCTGTACCAGGGTGGGACCCGGGTGTCGCCTCGGGCTCCAACCCCCCGCACTGTCGAAAGCTCGCGTCATGTGATGACATTTTAACAACCCCTCTCCTCTCTCCCCTGTGTAATTACCCATAATCTACTACGCGTATCCTGTTGGCGCTCTGTCAAATTAATGCTCCACCAGAAAACAATCACATCCAACCGCCCAACCAGACGTCAGGAGAACGTCAGCCAAATGAAGTTATTAGCAGTACTTGATGAGCGAATTAATCAACCCTGTCCGTGTAATTGGATAACGCAGTGTCTTCTTATGTGCTGATTACGGCGCAGGAAGGAAGGAGCTGACCCGTTGGTGGTCTGTACTACGTTTATTACAAAGAGTGTAGAATAGTCGAGGCTGACTCTGAAGATACAAAAGATGAGGAGAGAGATATTAAGCCGCTGTAGAATGTTTTATTTAGCGTCATGATGATATACTCAACGTCCTATTTATACCAAGACCTGTACCAAAGTGTTTCATCTGAATGATCTGTCATCGGTTCGTTTTTAAAGCTTTTTGGAAAACTTCCTCATTATGCTTTATATTTTCCACTTTCATATGCGCATTTTATGTGGTGAGAAATTACTTTGAGTCACACTGATGTACTTTGGAAGCTGGTCTCCCACCGGCAGTTTGGCCACTCACAACCCAGATGGAGAAAGCACCAAAATAAGCCAAGCTTCTTGCTGCTGTGTTCCTTCCAGTCCGACTTTAGATCTCCATTTGAAAATGAGAGCCCATCTATTTCCCCCTGATTATAACGAGGGGACATTCTTCCGGTAATGGCCTTCAAAATGGCTTCATTAGTCCACGAGGCTTCTCTAACACAAATCGCATTGTGAAGATACTTGAAACCACAAAATTGGGAGCCGAGAACCGCTCTGCCTCAATTTCCCTCTTTAGCATCCAGCTATGGGGCTCTCTAGTTGAGTGTCCCTTGATGGAAGAAATATACTGTAAAAAGCTTCATAGAGGCAAATACGGTGAGTGTTATGGATAAACACACCATGCTTCATTGCCTCCTTTTGTATACAGACTAAAACCTTTAGTTCTTTATACACAGTTCAATCTTCGATTGGGAGCATTTGAAGAGTTTTCATAACAAATATTGAACTTCCAAAAGTTCATGACTAAACCGTGTGTTTATGTGCTCTAATATGGACTAAACATATTTGCATGTCAGCTTGCAAAAATATATATAAACAAGACCAATGGGGCCCTTCATGAAGTCCAATCACCGTTCTGCTCCTCCTGCTGTGAAGGGGACCCTCTTTAGTTCATGGTCTTACTGCAGGGTCAAAGTGAGCTCAGAGAAATAATATGTGGAAATACTGTTCCACATCCGTCTCCCCATCTCTGAGCTTCATAACAGCTATTGAGTGATTTTAGGGCGGATATGTAAGCAATGACGGATGGGGAGGTGCGGTACACTTTTATCTTTTGACACTTGACTTGGTGAGGGGTGATCTGACCTTGTTAGCGCTTCCTCTCTGCGGGACGAGTTGTTAACATTTGAATATATAACAATAAACTGGGAATAAGCTGCTGTGCACAAATGAACAGATTCTCTCAGACACATTTTTGTTAAACCGATACATCAAGGCAGCATATGGTGACACGGCATGTGGTGCAGAATACGTTCAAATCTGCTTTGTTGCATGCTTCATTACGTTTCCTTCCTCGTCCCACAAGGCGTCATTCTCTGATGAGAAATAGGTTGAATGAGTCAGACCGAGAGGTGGTGAGAAACCACTTCCTCTGGAAAGAAAACCCCATAGCAACTCTAATATTATATTCATTTTAATGACTTTTTCAAGTGTACAGATGGAAAACGGGGGCAAACACAGAGATGTTGGCAGGAATAGCGAAGAAAAGAAAAAAAGGATGAGCCAGAGAGGGATTTCCCCCCCAGATCCCTTGGATGAAGAGTAAAAAGTCCACTCTTGCACACAGCGATGACGCACCCCCTCCGGACAAGAGGAGTAGTAACCCAACAACAATGTCAAAACAGCGCCGTGAAACTTGTTTCCCCCACCAAATAAGTGAGGCACCACCATGAAAAATTTGAGAAAAACCAGCCCCCTTTTATATTTGGGAACCCGGCCTGGTGAACCAGGATTTTTTCTTCCGCTGTGGAATCCGCATGCTCCCCCCCCCCCCCCCGGCGGTGCATTTCATGGCAAGAAATGAGGCCGTTGATAAGGGGAATTAGCGCCTTGCGGTCGTACGTCTCCCGTCAACCAGTCCGTCCAAATGATTTACCCGACGAAGAGAAACCACACATGTGACGGCCAGCCGGTGGGCAGAGTGGACTCGGTAAAAGGTGTGTTTAGTCGGTGGGAGCTGGCGAAGTAAGATGTCAGCCGTCTAGACATGTGTTGTCGAGGGTAGAAGTTAAGTGTGTGTATGTGTGTGTGTGTGGGGGGCAGAGGGGGGGGGTGTGACAATAAGAGAACAAGATTTGGCCTCCTTCCCTGTGTGCACAGGGGTCCGGCAGGGTGTGTGCTCTTTAACATCTGCCTCCTCTGCGTCACCCGGCTTCTCCATAAGGACGTTGGGGACAACAGCAGGGTGAAAGTAGTCTGTGGGCTAGATGGCAACCTCTTCAATATCAGGAGGTTGCAATCGACCACCAAGCAGCACTAAACACACAGTGAGGGTCCTTGATCTGCAGTGTGCAGATGACTGCGCTCGTGTGGCTCACACTCCTCAAGACCTCCAGGCTTTCCTGGATGCAGCTGTAATGGCCTTCAGCAGGATGGGGCTGGATGGGGATGAGTCTGTTAGTGGAGCACCAACATCTCACTCACTCGACCCATCTTCAGCCTCACTGATCAGCATCTGTCTGTATGCCATCATTCAAATACCTGGGGAGTATCCTCTCTTGGCCTTAGTTACGCGGTTAAAGCGATAATTCCTTAAGGCCGCTAAAACAAGGAGTCTGAAAACATTTGTGAACAGCGAAAACAGTGTTCACATAATAAACCAGATCCACTGTTATGTCATCTGGGGACCATGAGAACATTTCATCGAGATGCCATTCAATCATCCACCTGTGAGTGGAGCTGCGCAGGGCGAGGGCTGCACAAACACTGCGTGACTCTTCTAGTGATGCAAGCTGTTCTAAATTAAAAAAGTGTGGGTGTAAACCGTTTACGCCTGCTGCTCTTATGGAGAATTTCTGTTGTAATCTCAAACCACACACGTTCTGTGGAAGAACAGGATGTAGTTCTTAAACAGACACACTAAAGTATTGTTGTTGACTGAAAATTCACATAAAGTTGATACATTTTTTATAAAAGACAAAGCAAATGTCTGGTGCCCCTCACGTTCTATTTGAATTATCCGATCTATTCATTGGGATTTCTCTGATAACCTTTTGCTACACTTAGTTTTGGAGCTGCAGACGATCCTGAGTCACCGCTTTGTTGTGAAATGGCCTGTGAACATTCGCCGACCGTTGGGAAAAGCGATGAGCCAACAGCTGGCGCCAAGCCAGCGTCTTCCTACGAGGACACAGACACGCTTTCTCCTTCTGTTCACCCGTAGGCCGAGACTCGTCACGAGGCCTCAGACCGCGCTGTCTGTCTGTGTGTGTGTGTGTTGAAAGTGTGTCAGTACTGCATGCGGTTCAAACGTGAGTCCTGTCAGGACTTGGATCAAACGGATTAATGCTGGCAAATACACACGAGCCGGAAGCACACACACACACACACACACACACACACATACACACAAACACACAGTTTGCAAGTATTACAAGCGGTGGGACAAAGGACGAAGGGAAAAACGAAACAGCTGGAATGTTTCCGTCTAACGCAGAGTTTCTGCCTAATTAAACTTAAAACTGGATCAGATTTCTAAAGCAAACGAAATAACCCCTGGATCTGCAGTGCGAGGACGGGGGAGCACTTCTCTGGCCCGGACGGTGCCAGACGGATGCCTCTGTGGTCTCCCCACTGATGTTTCTGTGGCCGCGCTGGCACTGAACGGACGTTATCGATCGCAAATCCCGTCCGATCTCCAAACCAAACCAGCAAGAGTGAAGAGTGATCAGTGGAGACTTTGGAGGT